TATTATCTTCAAGTTTTGGTGCGAATTATAAAGAGTAGGATCGCTTAAGATGGATTTGAATAGCTAGCAACATGGAGAAATCAATTTCCCCGCTAGGTCAATATGGAAGACCGCTCTAAATGGGCCAAAAAGCATCACCATTAGACGGTTTAATGTTAGAAACTCCTGATATTGCTAGGCGACGTCAACATCGACCTATTTGGTTCAAATTTGCCCAGTGGGATAAGGATTCAGCAAAAAGACGCTGATAAAAAAACTACGGTACCCAAACCATTAAGGATCAGGGCGAAAATCGAAGGGTTTGGGCGTAACGTCGTGGATGGGCGTCAAAAATTTTGATGCAATCGAAGTAATAATGTACACTAACTACTACTGCGACGTTCTGAGTTGGAATTTGATTGCAACGTGAGGAAACAACTGTTTGGGAATAATTATATTTTCAAATACTAAGGCGATCCTTAGCATACATCAAAATTATTGAAGATTTGGTTTAAAACAAAGGAGATTGAATTGTTGAATTGCCATCCATAATAATTGGACAGCATGTTAATGAACATTTATGGTCAATTGTGAAGCCCAAAATTTCTCAGCACGCGCTATCCAACTTCAAAGACTGGTCGACGCCATATAGCTTGAATTGGAGAATTTGGACGCTTCCTTCACCAGCTCGTTTCTTGGATCGATTCCAAGATGTGTCCCTACCTTCCTAAAGAATCGAGGTGGACATCCCAGGTGCTAATTTGACTGTTATTTAATACAGCCAGGGATGGGCACTCCCAACAATTTCGATGGATTACGGATTACAGATTAATTAATTTAAAAATTTACATGGGATTACTGGATTGGGATTACTTGGTTCCTGAAATAATGTGGATTACTTGTTGGATTACTGGGATAAATTAATGACGTGGATTACGGATTACGGATTACAGTAATCAGATTACGGATTATTATCTGAATTACAAAAATCAATATTTATGTATTAAGGGGTGAAGAGAAGCGAAATCCCTTTATGGAAAAGTGTTGTCCGCCGGTCTGTATCCACAATAACTTTAGAACGGTTTCGAATTTCAACATGCAGTTTTCGCCAACGGGTTTCTAATTTTTGAGGTATGGATGAGTGAGTAAATGGGAATTGTAGGTCATAAGGTCACGGCGCCACGGTGAAGACGCCACGGGTCAAACTTGTCGAATTTTTTGTTTTGGACATAGTTTCGGGCGAGGGTACAAAAATCTTCATAGTTTTGACGTGACATGACCGAGTGACCGTGTCGACGACGCCAAACTTGAAAATGTCGAGTTTTTGTCTTGATACTTTTAGACGTAGTTTTAGGCGGGAATTTCAAAAATTAAATCTAGACATAGTTTTGGCATGCCATGACCGCATGACTGTCTCACTCCACCCCTTTGCTACATTTCGTTTGCAACGGTTTATTCTGAATAGCGTCACTTAATTTCATGATGATGATTAGCTCAAAAAACAAGAGCTTTGAATGATTCATCCGACAGTCGGTTTCTTAGGGCAGACAACAATGTATTGTAGTAAATAGACCCCTCTTAATTGTTCCAAAATTCTCTTTACTTTGCACCTCTGCTGAAGAATCCAGAAGGTAGTTTCAGCATTCAAGTTCAGCAAGTGACTCAGACTCTGGAGAAGTTGCAAGATGGAGCTGTCATGCGGTTGACAGGAGCAAAGTAATCCAACAAAGTAATCCGTAATCTGATTACATTTTCCAATCTCGTAAATTGGGGATTACGGATTACACATAATTCCAAGACCTAGCTAGGATTACGGACTACGGATTACTTTAAACTGTGAATTTTTCGTGGATTACTGGATTACATTCAATGTAATCTGATTACTTAATCTGATTAAAGTAATCCTGGGATTGCCCATCCCTGAATACAGCAGACTTTGACCAAATTTTTCATGAAAAATTAATTGGGGTATAAAGACTTTTTTCCAGTCGGAATTTTGAATATAATTCCACCGTATCGTTGCTTGTGCCACGCCGTTATCCAAAGTATGGTTCCGGAAACCTTGCATCATGATAAGTAATTGTGCAAAATTGCACTTCATGCTCTCAAGCTTCTCGAACAATATGAGGCATTATGTGCAAAAAGTATGAGGGTATAATGACTTTCTGCCTATACTGTAGCATTGCCTATGTCACTGTTTATTCAAATATCATTGCAGAGTTAAAAATTGGTAAACCCCAAATTTGCATATCTCGGTAATGCATCAAAATATGGGAGTTAGATGGCATATGCCACAATTAATACAAAATGCCAAAGTTGTGCTAATGTGATTTTCGTGAATAAGATGGAAACCAGGACTGTCCGCTATTTTTCGCGTAAAATTATATTACCTAGTTAAGGTAGAATTTTCATGCTGTACATATCTGTGAAGGCAAACGTAAGCATTTTAAATGAGAATTAGTATATAAAGATAACAAGCCTGTCTACTGCCGAAAAAATATGGCAATATTTTTCTATAGTCCACATATTCCGTGGATTAAAATGCTAATGTTGGTGTTCTATGCATTTAAAATTCTAAATTTGAATATGTCTGGATGTATGTTATTTTTTAAAACGCATAAATAGGGTTAGGAAATTCATTGATTGGTTACTTTTTTAGCGAGGGGGTTGCAAGAATAAGTACATACAGATATCTACGTATATATGTATTCAAGTATGTAACTGGTTCTGTTTCACCACTTAATTGGCACACTTTTTACTCAATGGAGTCAAAATTAGCGATAGAATTGCCTGTAAGGACTTGTATGAATTTTTCCAGTTCTCCAAACTTTTTGGTTAATTTTTGGTTAAATCAATCATACACAAATAAATTGTCATTCCTTATTTTGCGAAATTTTACAACTTATATTCTAAATATATTTCACATATAAACATAACCTATGAAACAGTCATCAATTTATACATACAATAATTTCCATACTCTCTTAGAAAACTTATATCAAATAATTACTAATCGGAGAACATATGTATAAGTATGGTCCCATTCGCACATGCAGTATAGTTATGTTAAGATAAACAACAATTTACTATGAAGAAATAACCCCTAACAAATCCGGTATAAAGTTTCAAGTGATGAAGACGTTCAAGAAATGTGGTAAAAGGGTGGAACCAATTGGAATTTGTTCTTAGGCATCTCCCTTGCACTTTCCGATAGTTGTTCTGATGGGTTCCGGTTCTTACTGTGGTTTTCGAGTTATGATCGGGTTCGGATACTGCATCGGATACGAATTTCCAGAGCACAGAACTTTCGGGTTCGGACCCGTGTTAATAGGTATCGGGTCCGAGTTAACTTAGGGTTTCGGATCAGCAGTATCGGTTTGGGGTCCGGGTTTCTGATTGAATGAACTCATCCCGTGAGCAACACTACTTTCCGACACTACTTGTAAACCCTAACCTCGTTTACAAGGTAATGGTCCACTATCGTCGAAACAATGATGATTTCTGCAATAACCCTCCAAAAAATAGTCAAAATCGGTTAAAACAGATATTTCGACATTTTTAACCTCTGGTCTTATTACCTGTAACCTACATATGTGTATCTCCCGTATTTAGTTAAAACCCTCCCAAAAAATTCCTGGTACCGTAGTGAAAACCGCATCCGAAATTCAAATCTAAGTAATCGAAAGTAATCTTGGGTGCGGACAAACTGACGGACAGCCACAATAGAAATTCTCCTAAAACGGTTTCGCCCTATCATAATCATACCATTTGTTCAAACGATTCACAATTATGGATAGAATTTCATGCAGCGATTCATAACGTTCAGTTCCCCCAACCGTTTGAATTATGCATATCAATATATGCCCTTTAAATATTGGAGGTATCGTTGCCCACATTAGCCAAAGTTATAGTAAATGTTAAGACCAAAAAGACGAGAATTTAATTCTTTGCAGTACATATCAATATACATAATTGCGTCTAAACGTTTCCCAGGTTCAAGAATTTACATACATACATATTAATTAAATACATACGTGTTACCTATGAATGCACTCAATTAGAAGATTTTTTTTAAATATTCAGATAGGGACACTTATGTACGGCGCGGGTCGTTTAGTTTTTTCTAATTAAATGTATGTAATATGATTTCATGGAAAGAACAATAATAAATCCTGAATGTACTTACATACGTATGTATGTATACATGTAAATAGTTACCAGCCCAGGTTTGTACACATATCTTGATGTACATGCACACGAATACAATGACAAATAGTAGATTTATTTTAAGTAATGATTGCTATACATTATTTGAAACGGTTAAATAATTCAAACGTACAAAGTACCATGCATATTGAACGTGATCCACTTTATACTATGAGAGTCAAAACATTTTGAAACTAGTCTTAATGGAATATGAAAACCGACAAAAATTCCATTACGTTAAATCGATCACATGCTTCCTGCACGGCCCTTTAGAAATCTAGTCGAGCAAGGATTCAAGTGAATGATCATACTTCTCAATAAAGGAAAGGATTCTTATCTTAATGACTTCCAGAACATGACATCCTACTCCTGCATCTGTTTTTCTGGACATAGTTCAGTAGATAATCTGCAATAAAATGGGAGCGGATTAGATTTAGGAGAAATCCACCAACTAAATGATCCATCTCACTAAACACATTGCTATGTTACAAGAAATTTACTTTTGAAAGGAGGATTACAAATCTAGATTTTAATGCCTCCTAACCAAGTTTTGGACCATGTTACATTTCTCCAAACGAATGTAGCAGAGCATCAAAATCTGAGTTTCCTAACCTGGCAAACTCTCCCCTTTTGGTTGGAGAATAACCACTCAATTCTCATCTAATCCCATGTTACACATTAAATAAATATGTAACTGGTCGATGTCCAGACAAGTCGAGTAGGGTGTTAAATTCTGGAAGTCGTTAAGATAAGAATCCTTTCCTTCATTATGTAACTTGATCATTCACTTGTTTGCATTGCATTCTTTTCAACCACATTAATTCCCATCTTCAAACTTCCAACGGCTACATACATAACTGGTTACAAATATAACTCACTATTCTTTATTATCCGGACTCACTTACGAATGAAGAGGGGGCTGAATTTACTTCCTTTGTTATCCACTTAAATTTTGATATTACTCCCAAAGTGATTTTATTACAAATATTTATTATTGAGAATTGTGCAAATTTAACTGATCGCTAACTAACAATTAACAACATATTCCTCTTGAATTCATACATATTTTGTGAAGCTGTACTTGTTTATTAAAAAAATATTAAGAAACGTGGAGATAAGTAGAGGTTGGTAATTTTTAATTTTTCTTTGGATTGTGTACCTCATGATGTGATTACAATTTGCTGGGGACTGAACAAAAAGAAATGTGACTAAAAGTAACAAAATGTCGATTTTTAGTTTTCTCGGGACGATAACAATTTTTCGACATACTAAATACAGAATTTAAGATAAATAATAAAAATTGTATTTTGCTTAAGCGACGCAATTCAGTCAGTCCTAACTTGTAAAATCTGTGCGTTTTGTAAAATAATTTTACACACTTTTGCATACAAATCTAACTTGATCTGAAGAGGTTTGCTAAAATTTTGGAAGCAAATTTCTTTGAATTATTTGTAAAAGTTTGTAAGTTTATGAAACTTTTGTATTTTACAATTTTACCATGGATTGCATGAATATTAATTTCAGTGAGAAATGGAAGCCACTGGAGGCAACAATTGTCCTACGGATCCTTTACTTTGTCCCGAGGGAAATGTGGAAATGGTGGAAATTAATGTCAACTCGGTATTCGACATTGTCAAAACGGGACGGAACCATGAAAAATTGAAGGATTTGTTGAACTCGTTAAACTTAAACGATGTGGATTCTGATGGGAAAACTATTTTGCATCATTCTGTAAAATTTCGTAAGTTTTTCTGAAAATTGGAATACTTAATGGATGCACGTTTTTCTACGTGATCATTTCAGTTTTACCTTAATCCCCTGTACAAAATTAATCTGTAAAAGTCAGTAAATTTCGTCAGGTTAACCTTAATGTTATCATTTTGTAAAAGAAAATGGTATTGTGCGTAGTCACGTCAAAGTATTATTTACATTTCTTTCTGAAATAAAAACATACTTTCTCCCTTGTTAAATTCGGAAGACAAATAGTTATCTTCAAATACGTTGCAAATTACAAAATCCTGCAAATTTGGAGTACTTAAAGGGTGTTAATAAAGTCCGATCCCATTTTTCCTATAAAAAAGTGAAGGCTAGTATAAAAAAAACTACCCGTGATACTTACAAAAAATGTTCGACATATTTACCTTAGTATTTGGTCTTGTTACCATTTACTTTAACCATGCCCTCAACTCTTTGTTTAAGGCTCTGTGCTAATTTTTCCAATGTGTCTGTGGGAATCGAATTCCATACATCTTGAACTTTTTTTACTAGCTCTTCCCTCGTCCGGGGTTGTGGTTCTTTGTATACATTTTCCTTAAGTATGGACCACAGGTTCTCCAGGGGATTCAAATCTGGGCTGTTTCCGGGCCACACCCCCTTGCTCCAGACCGTTGAAACTTGCGTCTTGATGAGACTCAAACTCGCTTTTGCTGTATGGGCTGTAGCACCATCCTGCATGAAAACTATTTTTCTTTCATTCGGAAATATTTCCTTGTTCCCCATGCTATCGAAATAGATAGGTAATATTTTTTCTATATAATACTTTGCATTGACTGTTTGGCCTTTTGGTATGATATGTAGAGGAGTCACGCCACGTGCACAAAATCCACCCGCTACCATAACTTTAAGCCCGAATTTTGGGACTACTCTTGATGGTACATCCGATTTGTTTTCTGTCCTGTAACGAACATTTTGTTGGTTCAATTTTGGATATAGCTCAATAATAGATTCGTCAGTCCAAAGGATGTGACTGCGCAATTCTTCACCAAGTCTTTTTTCACTCAAATGGCCACTTTTCTGAAGGAGTTCTCCAAATTTCAGACGGTCATCGATATTTTTTTGTGACATGAGAGGTTTTTTGGTTAGTTTGTAAGCTGTGTGACCCCACCTCGTAGATTTCACAAATTTTTGCACGGTCACATAGTTAATTTGCTTCTTCTTCTCTTTATAGCGTTTTGAGTCATTTAACTCCCTTGCACAATTACGTAATGAACTACCGGTTTTCTTGTAAAGTCTGTTTTTAATCATTCTCTTTGTGGTAGGTGACACCTTTCTGGGTCGCCCTGGTCGCTTTTTGTCGTGGACAAAATTTTTGTTCTTCCATTTCCAAACAGTTCTGCGGCTGCAGCCCAATTTTTGCACAATTTCTGCAGGTTTAAACCCCTGCTGATGCAATGTTTGTATCTTAACTCTAAGATGCTCATGACTTACACGTTTAGTTGTTCCTCCCATGGTAAAAATTTGAAATAAATAACTTCACTGGTTCAAAAGTTCCAGCTGAATTTGTAACAACCGCGCTCCAAAAAATTCATGGGATCGGACTTTATTAACAACCTTTACATGCATACACCATTTTTTTCGAGCTACATACATGTCAAATCTAGGTACAAATATATTTTTTAAAGTTTCCATATATTTAATTGGCATATATAAATTTGATGTGCTTATCTGCTTTGTCTGTCATTAATTTCAGCGAATCGAACAATTGCCGTGGAAATGACCACGGAAATATTGAACCACTGGAAAAACGTGAAGAATTCTACCCCTCCGGATTTTGTTAATATGCAAGTTGACAATCACCATCACCACAAAATCCACGGATTCCATCACCATCACCAGAAACAAACTGCGCTTCATCTAGCTGCTGAATCCGCCAGTGAAAAATGGTCATTCTTTTAGGCGAATTTGGTGCTGACGTGACACTTTGGTACATACGCGATTTGCTAAAATTTGATGAAATTTTGTAAATGTTAACGCTCCAAATAATTTTCCAGTGACGATAAAGATCAAACCCCACTGGATTTGATATACATAAATCTGCCGAAACTAACAATCAAGCACTTTAATACAGGAGTGAAATATGATGCATCTCATGAAAAGATTGAGCTTGATTTTAAGTAAGTATACATATTTCAGGATTTTAGGGTGAAATGCGTTCTAAATACAAGAGCAAGAATTACATATTTAAGTCGTTAATATGTTCATATTTCACCAAATTTTCAAACTTTTTTATAATTGTTTGCAGTACCCTGACAAATATTAAGGGGAGTAAAAATGCGGGAAATTTGCTACAAGAAACTCGAAGCTTTGAAGGATTGCTTAAAGAAAGCCCGGAAACGGTGAAAGAAGTTCTGAATCATCCCTTGATGCAAGCCTTTCTCTATTTCAAATACCAAAAGGCATATCCGCTTATTATTGCTTCGATTGGGATACACGTAAGATTTTGACAATCAAACTTCTATATTGTTTTTTTTCATGGAAACATGTAATGAAAAATGTTTCCCGAGAAGCTACGTTTAAAATGCAACAGCATATTTAGATACTAAAGGCAACCTTCTTTGCGGTGCGATGGGATGAAGCTTTTAATCTCACTTTTACGTCTATTCAATGTCCTTAAATGTTTCAAGAGTTTTAAAACTAATGACACTTTAGTGTAAAGTTGATTATTGGTCCTACATACATACAGTCAAGAGCAAAACTTTACGACATATGGAAGAGACTTTTGGGACATGTTATTCAAATGGGGAATTAAAGGCCGTAAAGTTTTGCACCGCGTACCTTTCCGAATAATTTTTTTAACGCTGTGATATAATTTTTATTGAATAAAGCGTGCAAAAGTAGGGGGTGACGTGGTAAATTATTTTTGTCGCCGAATTTTTTTCAAGGAACTACAAGGAATTGAAAGAATTAATTTTGGAAGAGACTTTTGGGACAACACATTGTGCTTATGGCTGTCCAAAAAGTCTCTTCCAAAATTAATTCTTTCAATTCCTTGTAGTTCCTTGATAAAAATTCGGCGACAAAAATAATTTACCACGTCACCCCCTACTTTTGCACGCTTTATTCAATAAAAATTATATCACAGCGTTAAAAAAATTATTCGGAAAGGTACGCGGTGCAAAACTTTACGGCCTTTAATTCCCCATTTGAATAACATGTCCTAAAAGTCTCTTCCATATGTCGTAAAGTTTTGCTCTTGACTGTATATACAATTCTGTCGCTTTAAGAATCGTTTTTGGGAAAATTTATTGTGAAAATCTCTCAAATAAATTAGCGATTTTTTTTCAAAATCGATAATTTTTTATAGTATTTGTGAAACGAACTTTAACTTCAGATGACACTTTAAATATTTTTTTCTCTTATCGTTAGATTTTCTGGCACGCCATCTATGCCTACTTCATATTTAACGTGTACTACACAAATTGCCCATGGCTCTCTAAATCTTCTTCAAAAGATAACTCCACTCCGGAAGAAAACAACCCGGGTGTTACCCAAATCAACTGTGACCCTGACAATTTTCAACCGCAAGAATTAACCCTGGCCGTGACATGTTGGCTCCTTTGCGTCCTATTTTTCGCTAAAGAGCTCTTCGAAATGCTGACGGTGCCAAGTTGGTCGAGATACTTTTTCGAATTGGAAAATATTGGTCAATTGTTTGTTATTGGGTCAGTCTTCTGGACGTCGTGGCCCGTCTACGAATTCATCGGTGGCGCCGAGAAGATTTCGATTAGCCCGTGGCAGTACAAACTGGCATGCGTAAGTAATTATTTCAATATTAGGGGACGAGTTGATCAAAATGATGGCGCATTACAAAACTTTAAAATGGAACTTATGTACTATTTTTGTAACGTTCGATAACATTTTTTAGGAAAAAAATACATACTTTTCAAAGACATAAATTCTGACAAAACGTACATTTGGTAACATTTACGACAAAAATTCCCTTTGAAAGGCAAAAATTTCTACAAAATGAATATTTGTTTCAAATGGTGAAAGGCAACCTCTGTGAGAACGTTGCATAAATCTGAATTTTTTCAGGTGACCGTCTTCATCGTCTGGTCCCTCGTGCTGGGTCAAGTTTGCAAAATCCAACAGTTGCGAATCCTTATCGAAATCTTTATCAAAGTTTTCAAATCTTTTTTCAAGTTCATTTGCACCTTTGCCTCGTTACTGTTTGCCTTTGCTTTCTCCTTCTGCATTATCATGCCGGAAGGGAAAGCGTTCAAATCGCCGTGGCTCGCAGTTCCCAAAGTGCTCGTCATGATGACGGGAGAGCTGAATTATGACGACGTTTTTCACACCGAAGATGACGCCACCGGGGTGTCGCCCTCTCACTACGTTACGACTCAAGTTTTATTCTCATTGTTCACAATTTTGATGTCGATGATCCTCCTGAATTTGCTGATAGGTTTGGCCGTGACGGATACGCAGGTTGGTAAATTAATGATGGGGTTTGTTACACTTAGCAAATCAGTACTAAACTAATACCAAAGGGTATATTCATGTAATTGTATGACTCCATCAAAGTAGTATTCGTAAGTAATACTGTGTAATTGTAGCTCGGTATTAAAGTTTTATCGAATCGGCACCGAACCTTTACGGACCTGTATAACTTTTAATACCAACCAATAGCAACTTTGATACCGAGAAATTAATACCTGCCTGACTAGATATACCAGATTCTCGACATAATTTATGTTGATTAAAAAATCGGTAGAACACTAGCGTAATGTTTCCTTATTTAAACAATGTGGTTAAAAAACGGTTGATTTTGATATCTAAGTTTAAACCTTAGTCTAAACGTAAGTTTATCATGTCCTGCGTTTTTTTAACGTTTTAGGAATTACGAGCCAACTGTCATTCTGCCGAACTTTCGAGCATGTTGGAAGAGATCTTTTTGTTGGAATCGTTTGCAGCCAGGGTTTATAAAGTGGTCAAAATTCGCTGGTTTTTGGACACTTTGTCAATCCGGAAGAAAGATAACATTTCATTACCTGAGAGGGGTTGGATTTTTAAGATGTGTAGCAACCAGTTGGACACAAATTTGGAGCTAAATGGACTGTATGTACATACATAAGTTCCTTAAGAACTACATATTTGTCTTTTTACGATATACAAGTTTATAATACAAGATTTCGTTATATGATTTGCAGAATCTACAGTTATTCTTTTGCGAAGAATGAAAAATTCCCATTTCCTTCTGGATTGATAGAAGATTTGCGAGATTTGGCAGACTTGAATTCTTTAGCTGCATTAAAGAAATAGAGTGGGGGTCTTAATTACGATAATTAATTAGTATGCAAAGCATGACATTCAGAATGGTTCATTCATTCGTAGTGAATTATGATTTGATACACACATGCACATGTACATATGTTACAAGATTGTAAGTATAAATTCATATATTTGCACATTCTTTAAGTTTATAATAATGCGATTCATTCTTGAATATAATTCAGTAAATCAAATTTTATTAAATCACAGTGCTTAATATTTTCTCAAAATTTTTACTTAGACTACTATTTGATGTATCTACCAAGTATGTACATATGTAAATGTCTACTAAATTGCTACAAAGAATTAAACATGCATAAATAAGAGTTGTTCCTCATGTCACTTTATTGGCCCTCTCAATTCTTCATAGTTTATTCATCATGGAAATTCCGTAAAACCGAAAATGGTCGGAGTGAGACGTATGCAAATAAGGTGACCCCCAACAATAATTTTAGAGTACTTATTATTTATACGCCGCAGTATGCCTTCACTTCATCTGCATAATTCTCAAGCAACATTGATGGCAATTTCCCAACCTCGATCCGATTTAGCAATGCAGGAATCCATTTTTCCGGTGAACTTCCATACACTTCCAGCCTTTGGAGTGTACTTCGTCCCAGGATTGGTTTTACGAGGGGAAATATAATGTTGAAAACCCATGGGGCTGCATAAATATTAAAATTTACTATAACACAGCAGGAAATTATGTTCGAATAAAAATGCTACTTCAATTAAGCAACTAGACATACAATTAATCAAAAATATAGCTTCCAATGTTTCCGGAAAGTTTTGTTCCTGTTCGCGGAACATGCGAACAATTAGCTGTGCAGCTTTTCGAAAAGATACTTAATTAATATTCTAACATGATTTTAGCATACACAAATTGTTATTAAACTTACTTTCATAGTGAGCCACTGTGTAGTAGGATAAATCAGCTAGGTCCAAAATTGGGATATATTTGTCCCGAATTTTTGCTTGTGAGAGAGCAGCATAAGCACATGAGCTCATGCGGTAAAGCGCACGGTCCACTTCCTTTGCCTCTCCAGCGGTCAGCATTTGTCTTGCAGCCCATTTTCCCATTGGCAAATATGTAACTGAAATTTATGGGTTTTTGATTCTTCATGTTTACATAGATCTACGTAATTAACTTAATTAAAAATTGGGAGTATATATTCACGTCAGACAAAAACGTCGCTTCGCAACACGTATTTTCAACTTTGCCCTATTTACGAAATCCGTGTCCTAAGAGGCTGATTTTAAATCAAAAATAAAAATTTTACCTGGCGACAAGTTTGCAAAAAATGGTTTATGCTGTTAATTTTTTGTAGCGGATACATATTTCGTAAAGAAATAGAGCATTTTGATTGATTGTCAGTTCGAAATTCTTCGCAAAGTAAGTTGTGGAGACATGTTGCAAAGAAGTTGACGTGAATATCCTCATTGTCAGGTTACCAAGTCGTCCTTCTTTATCTTCTCCGCCAATGCAGAATTTAAACGCATCTTTCACAACGGGTTCAATTATCCAAGTGTGTGCTTGAGCATATCCAGTAGCTGCCATCCATTGGACATGCTACATACATAAATATGTAATAAAAATATGGGCATTAATTAAAAATAATGGTGATAAAATTAGATTACTTTTTATCATACATTTTTAAGCATTTCTTCCGCTTTTGAGGTATCGTAGTCTCTAGCTGTGGGAATAAATGTGATTATTAATATGCAGCAATGACATAAATTAGTATACGTATAATGAGGGTATTCATTACAAGTTCGCATAGTTAACAAACAAAGTTCGCAAACAAATTCGCGTGAAATTCATTTTGCAAACTTGCGAATCTCCAAGCCTATGAATAATATTAGCAGGTACTTCATGCGAACTTGTAATGAATAATCAGAATATTCAATATGTTTGTGCACAAAAATGAAAATGTTTGGTGCATATATAGTGAAAATTACCTATGAGAAAACGAAGGATATATTTGTCATCTAAATGTTGAATTGTACCACCCAATCCACCCCTTACCTAAATATTTAAATAACTATTTGTTACTGCATAAACCTGGTAAAATACTAATTTGTATGTAAGTATTAATGATTTATTTGTTACTCACGTCAGCAATTTTCTGAACTACCAAATCAGGAACGCAGTCCATTGTATCCGCTTTTATTAAATAATAACTACTTTATATTTTGCACCTGCTATTAGAAATTTACTATTTAATAAAAATTTAATTCAGCTCAAACGATTGACGACTAGAGAGTAATTACGATTGTTAAAATTGTGGATTCAATTAAATCAGATGTGTCCTTCCTTCGTCAATTCAAGACTAAATATCTGCTTATTAATTCCATCCTCATCGATATGCATGCATTACATATTTTTAAGAGAAAATATATAGAGTTCAATATCCATATTAAGAAACAAATTTTTATGAATGTCATTTACATTGATTTGCGCAGTTTAGCTATCGTAATGAATGTAGTATAAGTTATGGGATGTATTTCCTTATTGACTACGATGATGGTGTGTTGAAGTACTTAATAAGTTTTAATCCTGATTTATATGCACAAGCTTGTGAACAAGTACATATTTGCATAGCTATCAGAAATACGTATATGTAGATGCATACAGTATCTAATGGTAAGATACGGCATGTCTAATTCCGTGATATTAAGATATCACGTTTTACGTATTAAGAGCTACTTAATGCCTATGGGCATATGTATCTTCATATGCGCGCAGTTAGGAAACTGGTATGAAATCATTACTGTTCGGAGTAGATACACATGTATGACTACCATAGGCCGGAGTACGCGACTTTTTCCGGAGGCCGGAGTACGCGGAGGCCGGCGAGGTTTGCCGGAGGCCGGAGTACGCGGAGTACGGAGTACGCAAAATTTTAGATCGCATAGACAGGAGTACATACTCCGGGCTTGGAGTACGCGACTTTTTTTTGGAGTACGGAGTACGCAAAATATCCGATCTATGATGACTACCGGCATGGTAATAACGAGATAATAATGCGATGATAATTAAAAATTTACCAACCGGCTACAAACTACTCCCAAACCGGTAAGAAATTAGACACTATTAAATCAATGCCAGTCAGTAGTGTACATATAAATATATGTAGGTATGTATATTGGACTTTACGGTGTCCGCTTACTTTGCATAATCCATGTTCTATATCTCTTACTGAATTTTTGGATGGGATCTGTTGTTTTAAATTGGGAGTAATACAAGTAATCCTAGTAATCCTATATAGTAATCCTAGCAATCCTAATTTTTGGGGATTACATACATACATATCTGTATCACACAGGAATGTGTGATTGGACTACAACTCTCTATGCCCTCTCCAATTGTCACAATCTCGAATTGCATAAACTTATAACAGATTTTTTTTAACTTTTAAGGTCTACTCCATAGGTAAGGGATACAGATAAAGAGGAGGAGATGAATGAGTACTTGTACAAAAGGCGTTAGAACATGGTTTTGACGAATTCATACCTTAATTGCGGGGTGGTTTTTAGTCGTAGAGATTTCTAACTTTTTTTATTTGAAAGCCCATGTCTCAAACTATAGGTAAGCATATCTGGCTTCCGATTTTGTGTACTCTGCGAAATGAGGCAAGGTCAAATTTGGAGAGGTGTCCTTTTTTAGTTTTCCAAACCAGTGTTCTTATAAAATGGCGTTGAGCAATATATTTTTTTCTGAGGTCCTGATGCAAAAATCGTCTTTGCGACTATTATCAATGGACTAAGCATGCTTTTCACTATATAAAACCACTTTTGCCTTATGCTTATCTTTTAAGTCCGTTTTGCAGTCTAATTTCATACTTGTCCTAATGGAATGCGCTCTTTAACGCAACTCTTCCACTTTTAAGGCCCCCACATTTTACGACTTTGATGCTAAAAATCCCTAACGTGGGTTTTATCCAAGGTACATATAGTATATTGCACTGTAAGTACTTTTGACAAAATTTTGATAAGTGGTTATGCCCCACGGACTGAGTTTTCATCAGACCTTATAAAAGTTTTGGAAAAGTTCCCGTCGTTTTCGATGTCGAACTTCAGAAATAATTTAACTAACCAAAACGCAATAATTTTATTATTTTGGCACTTGTACCTTGTAGATAAAATAGTTCTGCAGTAGGGGACACAAAAAGATTAGTAAAATTTATTTTCGAAAAAAGTTAACCATTAATTTTCTAAATAAGTTCACGAGTTTTTTAGGATTCCGCGACAGCTGATTAACTCGGGTCCTTCTCTAAAACTGTTTATACAAAATCTTGACTGTTTGTTTTAATATTACTTAGGACACTTCCAGCTTTACCCTCAATCTTCATTTGACCCAGTCTGTCCGTTTTCAAGGTCAGCAGGTCAATTTCCCGGTGCACGGTCCGATTTATCACTTTTCATGGAAAAGTATCAGCGAAGATGGAGGCACAACGTTATGTAATTCATTGTGGATTCTTTTATTACTTCATGCAATGATTATCTAGGGTTGTAATATTAACAATCATCCACCTCTGACCTCTTGGGTTATCATGCCCTATGAGTCATTCAGTTTGGAAAGTGTTTTTTTGGCTCCTTCCAACTCTGGGGGCACTGGAGGGGGCATTTTTGAAGCTATCGCCCTAAAATTTTAAACATATCTTTCTGAGAGTATGATCTTACAGCCTACAAAAAATCAGTTCAAAATTTAACTCCCCGCCAGAGATATTCATCCGCGAATTCGTCAAAACCATGTCCTAACGCCTTTTGTAGATACGCAAAACAGTGGTAAATATACAAACTAAGAAACATTTGCGTTTAGGGATAATTATGAATGAAAAATTCAATGTTCAATATTTAAAATTCAATATTTTCATATAGAATTATCCTCTGCTGCATCTAACCTAAATATTTATTACCACTTTGGATACAAGGTCATTTTGGCATTTTTTCAGATTATTGACAGTGCATTACCCATTAAACGACTAGAAAATAACCTCATGGCCCTACGAAACCCTTTATTCGTACATACTGCTCGTATTCAAAGCTGATATCAATCCAATTCAGCTGCCTTCCATGGAAAAAACACATTCTTCCTAAAAAATCTTTACCTTGAGCTGGTGTATTTATGTAAATTGTATAACACCGGTTCCAATATTGAGATTATCTTCACCAAGTAACTATTTATCTCTCTGAATGTTGACTAATCGAGTATAGTGTGTTATCTTATCAATAACATTGTTTCCCAACCAAATAGTCGAATTCGCAATTTCAAGTGTCTCACTCTTTCCTATCCATCCGTCCTAATGGCTTTGTTGCGAAATAAACATTTATAAAATATCATGCATCAAAGACCACAAGGAGAAAGCAGGTGCCTCAGTTGATTTCGAAATATCACGTAGGAAAACCCACCACTAGAAAATCTTCAGATTCTGTACAGGTAAACTTGACATACAGAGTTTAATGCATACATATATCATAAAAAATTTAATAAATTCCTAGCCTACTTAATTTGGTTTTACAATTTTCATACAGATGGTCCCCAAATATGGACCAACTATTAATTACAGCACTATTGGTTACTATCATATCCATATGCGTGTTCCTGGTTATCGGTCTATTATTGTGGTATTGTTATCGTCGATGTACTCGTAGTTCACAAGACCCTCATCGTCCACCAACTCGAAGAGCTTATGAATATATTTTTCAATCATTTCGATCGCAAGATAGGCAATGGCCACGTTTATTACCACCACCGGCACGGGAGCTAAGGTACGTTTACACTATTACAAAGTTCAAACTTTGGCTTAATTTCATAATTTTACAATTTTTTTTACAATTGCACGACGTATAAAATAAATATGTATGTTGCATATCGTGTATTGTAGGGAACCTTTAAGAGGAGATTATGAATATCCTAATTATGCAAATGAACAGGAACACAGGCACGTTGAGCCTGTGAATCACAGTCCGCCGTCATGGCAAAGGTAAGCTAATAAATAGATCAGTAAAAGGCCTTGAGTTACATAATTCCAGATATTGAATTCGCTTGATCGGAATTTCATAAAATTTCGATTTCATTTATTGCATCAATTAATGAAACCAACTTAAATTCATAAGAATTTTAAAATGTCCTTTATCATAGCGGACCTTCAAGAATTCATTACGCAAATGAACCGGAAAGCCCGCCTGTTACACCTGTAAATCGTAGTCCCCCATCGCAGCAAAGGTACGCTAATCAGTTGATAAAAAAACCGTGAGATGATTCCCGATTTTGAATAAGCACTTGCATCAAAATTTGCTGAATTTCATGAAGTTTAGATTCCATTGGTTTATTATTGTTCCTCGTATCCTTGATATTCTTGGTATCTAAAAAGAAATTACAAAGGTTACGAGATTTTGTTAACGTCGTAAGATTCTGTCGCCGAAAATTGCGTTACCAAGCTTACGATTTTTAAGAAGCTTGACCCCTTGTTTTTTTCCTTGTAAACTAAATATTTTATATATTAAGGGTACAAAGAAGTAATGAGTACCCTCATTGCATCGAAATGAAGCATTTAAATGAAATACAATATGTAAGTTTGAAATATGCATGTAAGTGTGTTACGAGTATCGTGTATTTATTGCAGCGGATTTTCAAGAGGGAATTATGAGGATGATACTTTTGGGGCATACGGGTGGGGATTCACGCATGCACACGATTCGAAGAAAAGGTAAATATTTTTACCAACCGGCTAGAATTGCATAAGAGTTACAATTTCAAGACGAAAATTCTTTAAATTCAAATTCGTATAAACCCAGCATTTACCTACAACAACTCTTCGTCATTAACAAAAAACCAATTCACGCATTGGCATACATAAAGTGAGATGAGATGACTTTTTTTACATAAAAACCTTTTAGCAGAGTATCGTTCGAAATATGAATTTTAAACTTTAGGTAGACTAATGCAAATTGTATTTTCTAATAATGCAAGAAATTTCATAGTCACGATTATGTACATACACGGAGTGTCCCATTATCCTGGAACAATTTTTGAAAAATTTTTGCCCGAAGCCGGGAAAATACATACATATAAACCAAAACGTTTTGAAAATATTTTTTAGAGAAACCTGTGAATTTTTTCAACTCGAAATCTTTCAAGAATGTATCTACCCTATGCTCATTGGAAGTATTTATACATATGTATGTAGGTACTTGCTAAAGACGTTGGGACACTCTGTAAAGCTTTGTAGATATATCGTTAAGATCATTTCTTTGCTTACTAAAATCCCATTAAAATTTATGTAAATGTGCACCGGAGATGTGCAAGCGCTACTTTGTTTAAATAATCTTGTTTCACCCTTTGCATATTTACATAAATAATTACATAAATACATGTCATGTATTTTCAAGTTCTTGGTCTTAATAACTTGCAAGTAATATCTTCTAATGGAAATTGTGTCAATTTCGTCTAGATATGAAACCCTTTATAACGACTATGAAGCCGGGCGTAGACACGATGCCAATCAGTCTGAGTCAGATTCAAATGTCCGACAGGCTTATGAAGCCAGGAAATTTGTGGGCATCGAAGTTTTAAGAAACATTCAAATCAATTTGGTCCAAGAAAAAGAACTAAAGCCTGCGATTCCTCTTGGAGACGATACCAACATAATAATCGGAGTGGACGCCACACCGCACAATATTGGAGGCTATTTCATAAATCTGGTCGAAAATAGGGGAGAATTCTATTCTTTTCCGGTCGCAAAGTTACCCTGGACCCTAACTTCTCACGTATTAACTCCAAAACAAAATCAGGCGCGAAATCCGGCCGAATTTGAGATGAAGAACCTAGTTTTTGCTCTCTACTTGTGGAAGAATGAGCTACGTCAGAATGGCTCAACTTCCAAAGTTGTCATGTTCACGGATAATTTCGATTTTAATAAAAAGCGAACACTGTATGGAATCCGAGCACACAGATTTGTTCGGCATTTACAAAATTGTGAAGGAATACAGATCCAAGTCAGAGTAAGGGGCACGAAAGAGCAAGATATTGAAGATCACGCGAAATTTGTTAAACCTGCGGACGATTTCTCACGAAAGCGGTTTAAAGAGGGGCGGGATTTTTTGATTGAGTACTTTGGCTTGACCAGTGAAAACTTTACGGGATCTCATGACCCTCCGCGTTATGTACGTACCAAATGATGCTTTAAGCGTTTTCGAACTATTAGGTGCGCTTAAAAAGAAGGAACTTTTTTAGGGAAACTTGAGATTCTTTTATTTATTTCAGGGGAGATATTTTAAGAAATCTACAAAAGCAAGGGAACAATTGCAACGGGTAAGTTTAAAAAAGGCTTCTCCACAATAGAGGTGGGCGACTCGGGGCATACCATATTTCATCGACTGGTTCCTTGAGCAGCTTCAACAAAAATTTATGAACCGACAATAATGTATTCCTTGAAATTTTTAAACTGATCTTAATTATAATCTTTAGGAACCCCTCCATTAATTAAATTGATTTAATATATTTAAATTAATTTCGTATAACTCAAAAATCACGGTTTTCTAGACTCGCCCTTTCCGGTTTAACATGTATCACATATGCACGATATCTTGGAGCCTTATTTTGACCCCGTTCTTCCGTTAATTAATTTACAGATAACCCTTATTAAAATTCATGCCGTGATTATTACTATTAATGACTTGATTAAATTGCATTTTTCTTAGTGAGGCAAATACCTAGCAACAAAAAAATTATTCTTAGTGAGGCAAATACCTAGCAACAAAAAAATTACTAAGTATGCATTTGACCCTCCCCAAAAAAGTGACCACCGACGATATCTCAGTCATTTCTCAACCGATTTGGATGAAATTTTGCACCGATCATTGCTAGATAATTTTAAAACGATGTGCGAGTCGCCTTTTGGAATTTTTGTTTTTTGAAAGAGTTATTGGCAAAAATACGTAAAAATTTGCCCCTAACTGCACATTTCTTTTCATAGTTCATTAATGGGTCATCCAAACATGTTCCCTTATTGAAAACATTGTAGACAAAGTCATTCCGGTCATTCTAAGTCCAAGCTTATTCAAATCCGTTAGGAACTCAGAAAGTTATTCAAATTTGAAATCTAAAAAATTTCAATTTTTTAGTGACCTTTATACCTGGCAACAAAAATTACATATTGTGTGCATTGACCCAACCCCAAAAACTGACAGAAATAATTCAATATCTCAGTCATTTCTCAACCGATGTTGATGACATTTTGCACCGATTATTCTTTATCAAAATCGGTTAAGAACTCGAGAGATTATTAAATTTAGAAAACTTTCAAATTTTTGCAGCGACGCAAAGCATTAATGTTGTTGACAATAAATCTTCTAATCAACTCTAGCTTTAAGGAATGTGCGGTGCTTATTATTAAATATACAAAGAACTCAATTACAAGTATTAAATAAACAAGGCCCCAAAAAAGGGAAATCTTAGTGAGGCTTGGTGCGACTACAACTAATAAATAAAATTAGATTGCAGAATTTTTGCATCACCGCTCTCTGTACCGTTCTTACTGGATCCAATATAAATTTTGTTTTGCATACACATGCATTTTTACATTTATTGAATTAATTGGGCTTTTAAGAAGACGTTTTTACTAGTGGACGAGAAGCTTGGTAAATTAACTGGGAACAAATATAATGGGTAAACAATTGTGAACTACGAATCTTTAAGTTTAAGATGCAAACAGTTGCAAATATGCTACAAAAGTTACAAATATTTAATTTTAATATTTTCTGGATAATCCTATAATCTGGATATCTTAATTCTTATTCTCATGAAATTACAAGCATGTTTGAGGGGAGCCATTTATTCCAAATGATTGCTTAATGTTTCCAATAAAGAATGGTACAGAGAGCGGTGATACAAAAATTCTGCAATCTAATTTTATTTATTAGTTGTAGTCACACCAAGCCTCACTAAGATTTCCCTTTTTTGGGGCCTTGTTTATTACCATTACAGATGAAGGAAAATCATTCCAAATTTAAGCACATGAAGTGTGGAAGTTGTACGTTTAAAGAAGACAGTGCCTCACTTCATTCCGTCGAAATTTGATTAAGTGCCTTTCATCTGATTTGTTATAAATACTTACTAATATAATTAAGGTAATATTTAATTGTTGGTGTAGAGAAAATAAAAATTAACGTTCTCTAAAAAATCATGAACGGAGATTTTTGCATAAAAGTGGAAATAAGTAGGGATAATAGGCAATTACTTAATTTTCATTGTAGAAGCGATATCCTCACACCTTTCGGAGGCCATTGCTTACAGGGGTAAAAAGACAACGAAAGTAAACAAAAGTTTCAAATTTTATGTACTAAATTAAGTTCGTAAAAAATAGGCTTAAAAACTCATTTATGTCAGTACGAACTTTTGCCTCCCTAGGCTAGTAAGTACTTAGGATTAGTAGGTATTTAATTAAAAAAAATATATGCATTTCGAACTCGTAATGAATACCCTAGCTGCCGATTTGCGGCATACATATGTTAGAAGGCGGTGACTGGCGGTGTAACGCTTGACAAAGGGAAGGTGTGAAAAATTGAAATTTGTTGTGCCAAAATTTATGAACCTTCCCTAACGATCACAACTATGGGAGACACGACATGTTTAGAGCTAAGGATAAGCTAAGAACATGCAAATACACAAATTAAATATACATTGTAAGAGCGTCATTTGAATAATTGGAGCATTACAGAAAATTGTCCATTATCCAATCCACATTCAGCTGAACTGTACTCCTTTATATAATCGAGACCCTGTGTACCGTATGATCTACCCTCAAATACTATTTCCTAGTTGCATAAGCGATTACCATCAGGCTAAAAACACTTACATAAATACATTACGCAAGTTTGTACAAATTTATGGTTCCGCAAATTTAAGTTTAAGCAATTAGATGCTTACCAAACGATAATTTTCCGTATAAACGACCCAAGTTCATAAGCTCCATCTGACTGAACTACAGAATAATCATTTCTGATACTCTCAAAATTCTGCGAAAGTTAGCTTATCTAACTAAACGCGTTAGAAAACCTGAAATGAAATTAAATTGGGGTAATTATTTCTGCTTAGGCATTTAACCTGCCCGGTTTAAATACCCAATTTATTGTTGCAAAATGAATTTAATGCGAATACAATTTTAGGTGAAATTGCTTAAACTCCTTAGTTTGGATATACCCATCAGCCCGAAATGATCATTAAATACGTACTTCAGCCGGCAATTATTGTGACGCCTCTGTTTGCATTTCAACCGCGGAATACATATATATACATAACCTGATAATGATTATAACCTGAAGGCTGCATGGGTTTTCTCCACGTGCCCAAGTCCATATTGACATTAGGTCACGATTAAGAGAATTTAGATTAACCGCCTAATTAGACTAGACAGGATCATCATGTCAGCAATGAAACATTGCAGATCAATAAAATTGATCCAGAATTTCAAACTGCTTAATTCACTAAACTTTGAAGACTCAAAACGCTTGTATCTCTTCTCGCAGCATGTTAATAAGTAAGTAATGTATAATATCTACATAGTTGACTATTTAAAAAACTTCACACCAAGGTTAAAAGTTTACAGACGAAAATTTAAACGAAAGTTTCTCGATGTGATCGTAAAAATAGAAAATTTAACCATGTACGGGAAGAACTTTACTTTTCCATCGTTTTATTAATAGTGTGGCCACGAAATGTCATGTATTTTTACATAAACATATCCGGAAATCGTCCAGCGTAGTTACATAAATACAAACCAGGAGACATTGTATGTAGGGGTGAATTTCACAGGAAAATAATTAGGTTACTCATTCCTACATAGTGGATAGGTTTGTATTGCTACAATAACTACTTACAGTCGAATTGTATAATCCCTCTATTTCTGAAAATGGCTGTCAATATTATTTCCAAATAATTAGACAAATCTCCAAAAGTGTTTTCGTTGACAACGAGTTCACGAAATAGATATTCAATTGCAATACGGCTGCTATCAATTACTTTTGGCGTAATCTTACCAACAAAACCAATTCGCCTCTATCCGTCGCAATTATTCAATTAGGTATAATTAGAGATAAATACTTTTATATTTGTTGAGCTTCGCCATACATACTTTATCCACCTAAATAAGAATTTATCAGTCGTGGAGTCATGCACTGCAAAGTAAACAAGAGCCCTTCATTATAAATCAGTATGTCAGACAGAATATCTGTATCTGTATTTAATAAAGGTTATGAATCAGTGTGCAAATAAGGTTATAAACCATTTTCTCGCAATTCAGTCTTCAAAACTTGTACAAACAGTCCCAGAGGTCGGGTTACTGGATTAAATAACCTCCAAAATAAGTTAATTGTTAGTTCGTAGTAATTTCTCAATTTTTTGCAAAAATGTTCAACAAACGCACCCTGAAAGTGATTGGAATTTACATGAAAACTTTCGCCCTGTTGGGAAGCAATCCTTACAAATGGGACGAAGCGAATGAGTGTGTCGTCGAGTGCAACAGCTTATCGAGAAAGATTTCCTTCGGCTTTGCTGTGGGTCACACCGTTCTTTATTTGGCTTACCTCTGGTGGCGTCTCGTCCAATTGTTGCAGACGGAGAAGCCAAGTTTTCCAGACGTTGTTTGGATATATATTTGGATCAATCTGTTCCAGTGGTCATTGACCACGTTTTATAACGGGCACAGGAAGAAAAGCGAAGTTGTACCACTGTTTCGTGGACTAAAGAAACTTTCCACTATGTTGGAGAAAGGTATTTACATAGCTAATCCAATAGAGTATTTTTAATAGTTTCAATTTGGGCAATATGGTAGATGTACAAATTCGTATACTTTGTAGGATGACCAACAATTCATTCGTAGAGATGGCATGGCCAACTTTTGTAGCACATTAAAGGCTAATTTCCGGAAGATACACAAATTTTCACATATTAGTATGGTATCCTACATTGTGTACACCTTCGCCTGTGAACCTAATTCTTACATACATCCTGCACACTAGTACATTCGGCACCAATAAATTTTGCACACCAATACATTTTGCACACCTTGCGCATGGTCAGTCATTAAGTGCTCATTAAAGTTTATTATCACCTCGGGTCACACGTACATTAAATTGCTTTCTTCTCTTTATTTTTAGAAAATCCCAGCGCAAGAATGAAAAACTTGATCTGGAAATTTAACATTATCGACTTGAACTTTTTGGCTGCCATGTGGGTCCCTTTCATCTACAACGTGTCCGTAACGCTCATGTTCATCATGATCCCCACGCGAGTTCATTACCTGTACTCGCTTGTTTCACAAGAAAACAACAGAACCAGCTGTCTTTTCCAGCTTTTTCTAATGTTCGAGGCTTATTCTAAAGCTGCTCAAAGTTGTATGATGGGAACGGATGGATTTACAGTATTTCCGACTCTTCTGAGTTCCGGGTTCTGGCTTGACTTCACAAGGTATTACTTGCCAATTACTGTCCATTCAAAATTAATATGCAGTAAAAAAATATGAAAAGTTGTCAAATAAGTTTAGAAACTTAGACCTTGTAAAAAATTTTGAGGCCTTTACTGCATATTAATTTTTACACAACAGTGGCAAGTGCTTCAAAATTTTTGAAAAGAATCTCTCTGAATTTAACCAACTTTGCATTTTTATCTAGGAAACAAAAGATTTCCGCGGCCAAAAAAATTCGAAACTTTCAACGTTTCCACATTTTAATGATTTACTACAACTATGCCTTCACTTGGCTGCTCATGCCTGTCGTGTTCGTCTGGATTCCTGGGTCTTTAATAATTGCATGTGGATTTGCGTCCATTCGATTCCACAGTTTCCTCTCGTTCTTCGAGTACATCCCGTTTCCGGTTTTGGTCTATAACTGCTGCGTCATACTGGCCGTGACGATGCATCCTGCCACAATAGTTTATGAGGAGTCAAATAAGCTTTACCAGACGCTGCTTCACGATAACAACATGTCTCGAAGGAAGAGCAGGTTGCGTCGAAAAGAGTTGGCGGCTTTGAGACCGTTCGGTGTGAAAATAGGGTTTATCCAGCGAGTGAAAAAGGTGGCCATCCTGGTGAGCTATTACTTCGTTTCGAACCACATCTTTACAATGCTCATCACTTTTCCGGAGGATCAAATCAACCACTAGTCGTCGGAACTTCAATGGTGTCCAGCAATGAAACTAATCTCAATAAGATAATTTGAAGAAGAATGACAAGGATAGTTTCCGGCGGGAAAAACAAAACCCTGTCAAATAGTCTTCGAATCATCACACGCATCATACCTCTGGTTGCTGTGGGCCTTCCCACCACCTTTTCGATTACACTAAAAAGTTGTTACTTCATAATCCTACATTTTCACTCACATGGAGCAGTTTTATAACCATAAGTTGACACATTCCATCACTTCTCATTAACCACCAGAATTTTTAGAGAACTTCAATATTAACCAATTTAAAGATAAAATTCTGAACTGCTTTTATTAAATATTGAAATATATGGAAAGGTCAACATGCGACAAATGTATGTATCTAGATAGACTTTGAAAATAATTTAAGTGATGAAAGATAAAAATTTTATTCCAACAGTAGTAAAACGTCATTTTTTACAGGAAGCATAATCCTAGTTATGTATATTTCTTTGATTAATTAAAGATATTTGAACGAGAAATGAGAACAATTTCCATGCCTTATTTCAAGATACACATGTGACTTATTTCTCAAGTCGAAATAAATAAAATGAGAGTTTAAACCTAAATACATGTGCATTGATTTTTTATTTAATATCGGGCATGCATAAGTCGAGCCAAATTGATTAAGTTTTCTGGATCATGAAGTAATTGGCTAGTTTAAACTCGTTCTACTCCTACTTGTCAATTTTTAATATAAATTTTAGGGATATCTCGAGATATAGAACCATTCGCAATAATGTTGTCTACCTATGTCGAGCTCTTGCTAAGCTGACAAAATGTATATTTCGACCATTTTCCCCTTTATAAACTACCCCTGGAAATCCATCCAGTTATAACACCATCGGTAAGGATATATATAACAATAATGTGTATTTCCAAAAGAATCAGAGAAGTATAAGATCTGATCTTAATTTTGCCAGATCAGATTTATTTACAATGGTTTATTTACATATAACTTTTACTTTTCTTGCAACAGGGTTTTTAAATTATTTCAAACACGAAACGAAGAAATAAGATTTGTTGCAATTTAACATATACATACATACATATGTTACAAAATAAAATATAAAATGTCCGTTTCCTAGGAAAATCCAGAACCTTACATTAGTCCGCCAGTCTGATCTCAACGTACCTTATGCATTTTACCCATGTGTCGCCACGTTACGGCATTGCTTGTAAACCTGACGCCACAAAAATAGCACGCGTTTTTTCTCTCAGTACAATCAGTGGTCCTAGTCAAATGCCGCGCCAAGTGTGATTTATCACGCGTCTTGTACCCACACCTGTCGCACGAATACCATGGCACCCTCCCCGACAAATGGCTGGCTTTAAGATGTCGTTTCAAATTGGATTTATTGGCAAATACCTTGTCACAATTTGGACAAGGAAAATCATCTCTTCGATCACCGTGAATGTTTCGGATGTGCATTTCCAACCCTTTGTTAGTCAAGAAAGCTTTTTGACAGAAGCTGCATTTGAACATCTGCCGGTCAGATTTATCCTCGTGGACGACCTGCAAGTTGAAATGTGTTACCACATTTTATGAAACTATGAACGTATTAAGGATGCCACGTAAAGGATACGACTGATTTCCGAAGAATTTTAAGCATCAAAATTGCTACCGATTTGTATTAAAATTACACCGGTCACTAAAAATTTTCTACTGACACATTAAACCTTTAATACCGAACTACGGATATTACTACTCAATGTTGCTTATCAATACCACACTGGGTAGTCATAAGTACATGAAAATCGCTTGGTATTATTTTAGCACTGGATTTCTAAGAGTGCAATCAGACTTATATGCATAAGCTAAACTCTGTTTCATTTCTGGTGATACCAGCGGGAAGGTCACGTGCCCATTTACTTAACATGGGCACGTGACTTTCCCGCTGGTATCACCAGAAATGAAACAGAGTTTAGTAGTAATTCAATCACGTACATTACGCGCTATCGTTTATTTTGCAACAAACCTTGTGGAATTTTAAGCCAGACTTTGTTTGGAAGTATTTCCCGCACGTGTCACATTTGTGGACTTTCTCTTTCGTGTGGCTGGCAATGTGTGCGTCACGGTTTCCCTTAACTTTGAATTCTCTTCCGCAAAGAGTGCACGGAAATCGAATGGGGTTTTCTACGTGTTCAATTTTAAAATGGAGAGTTACTTCGCCACGTGTCTTAAATGTTTTTTCACACGCAGCAAATTTGCACGGCAGCCGAGGCTTCTCCCCCGACCTGTGCATATGGCGCATATGTGAATTTAAACTGTGGCGCGTGGAGTATTGCCGTTGACAAATGTTGCACGTGGATTTGTCCCTCCGACGGTGAATGCCCCACATATGCTGGTAAAGGCTGAGTCTGTGTTTTAAAACTTTTCGGCAAATCTGGAGAATAAATATGTCAGTTAGAGTTATTTTTGAGCAGTGTTTGGTGTACTACTGACTCAGAATTACTTTACCAAAAATTTGATTCCCGCTTTCGTATCCCTACCATACTAATAGTATCATGGGAAGGATACCAGCGCGGGATGGAAAAGAAAAACTGAGTTGATATTAAAACGGGGAGGGACTAGTACAAGAAATTGTATTGCAGACATAATTTAATGGTTAGTACAATAAGTACTGGAACCTAGCACCATTTGGCGAAAAATCCGTCAGCAATAATCTACCTGGCGATACACATTTCTTGCATTTATTACCCTTGGATTAGGATATTGTGAGGTCAACCGGTTGGATTCGAATTTAAAATAGACTCACTTTGAGATTTAAAATTACCCACATTGAGATACTGAAAAAAGAGCCTTATTTATTACAGTATTATAATAAAAATATGCAGGTCAATAATTACGGCAATAGTCACTCACCTCGGTCACGTGTTCAACAGGACATGCAGGCAAAAACGAAAAACTTTTTATCCGGTTGACATCACAATAGTGCAAAAAATTGAAAACTGGTTATCAACTCGAATAAAATCCCGTGTCGAAAACTTACTTCACATTTTACGTGTCCATTTTCCTCGTGCCTTCTGATTATATGATTCTTAAGAATCCATTTGGCTGGAAAAATTTTCGGGCAGTTGGGACACTTGACTGGGACAGGTTTAGGTCCTTTCTTCGATGGAGTCATGGCCGTAAATATTTTACTTTGAACTGTAATAATAAAATATTTAGATTAGGATAATTGTCAAAATTATATACTCTTTTGATCAACAAACTCACATATCTATTTATATGCTAATATAGCAACCAATAATAACTTACCTATTACTTACTAACTTTAGCTAAATTTCAAATCCTTAAATTTTTTATGGCACGACTTTTTCGCAATTTACAAGAGACGGAAGAATAAATTGTGGCGAAACTTTATGATTGGTGTGGACACACTAATTTGGAGATTATATCTGAAAAAGAAGAGTATGGTGGAAACTCATGTAGGTTTTTTACTTGCGGATTTATTTATGTAACGACTTGTCATTTAATCTGAATGGTAAATGCATATTCCAGTTTTAAGGATATTTCATAAGTGGTTCCCTGGCTAAAAAAGGGTTAAAGCGAAAGGTGAGGCGACTGGTACATACCGAAAAGAAGTATTCGATTTGATACAGGTAGCAAGCAGCGGAAGTGTTTATAGCAAACCCTTCACTTGCAAATTTGAGCACGAGGGAAGCCGTTCACTACCTGGAATGAAGGGTTAAAATTCTTTGAAAGTGGGCAACACATTTTACACTGGCATCTGGCACTCAAAACCTGGCTGGTTATTTTAAAAATAAAGGCGGAGTGAACTTGCTCATTATTTCTGGTTAAGCATTATGTATACATATTTAGGGGACAGTGTTAAAAACGTGCCCCTTGTTCGAGACCATCCATCACTCATCCTTAGAACTTTACTTCGTCATAAGTAAAACGGACCTTGATTATGTACGACTGGAGTTTTGGTTTAGACAAATCTAAAGCATTTTTACCAAGTGAGATTTTTAAAACAAAACCTAGATGGACCTCAAGCCTGAGAAAAAATTGGAATGTCCCAAGTGTTCAAAAACGTTCAAAAATAAGAAGTACCTCAATCAACACGTCGTCACTCACGATCAGGATGCGAAGTTGAAATGCGAGGTGAGTCGTCAACCTACATAAGTTTGCTACATCAAAATTAAAAATTTAACAAATTCTACCATCAATCTGTACTGTTTAGGTATGCGGGAAAGTTTCTAAACACCGGGTCGCCTTGGCCATCCACGTCAGAAGAATTCACGGCAACCGAGAGCGGCCCAAGTGCGATGTTTCATCAGACATTTTGCAATTCTCGCAGCTTGCTGTGCCACCTGGACGCCGTGCATGGCTCGATGGAACGATCTCGTTTCCCTTGCACATTTCTTGGTTGTGAAAAAACCTACCTAAACAAGTGCCATCTTTCGGATCATGTAAAAACTGAACATGCCGAAAATCCCGTCAAATTTCCGTGCACACTTTGCGCTAAAGAATTTGAACACAGAACAAACCTTGAGCTTCACATTTCCACCCACACGACCGAGAAGCCGTTCAACTGTGCCACTTGTGGGAAGAGTTTCTCACAAATGTCGCACTTGAAACTTCACGAGGTAAATAAATACGAAATAGAGGAAGAATTGCATATTTAGGTCGGTATCTACATGTGCAGATGTATAAATATTTATCAGGCGACTCATGCGGAAAAATCTACACGAGATACTGTTAAGTGCAAACTTTGTCCGCTGACCTTTCTTAGGAGTGGTGGCTTACGAGGGCATATCCCGGTTGTTCATGAAAATCAGAAGAATTATGGATGCACATTTTGCGGCAAGAAGTTCTCGACATCTAACAACTTGAAATCCCACGTGGAAGCGGTACACCGCGAGAGCAAGGAGAAGATTCATCCTTGCGACAAATGCGAGTACAGGAGTCACTCGACGGACTATTTAGCACGGCACAAAAAACGTCACGATTTTAATCGTAAGAAGCATGAATGTTACTTCTGTGGAAAAGAAATCGTCTCTTTTCAAAATTTGGTCTTCCACTGTGGTCGTATTCATACTTTGGAGAAGATATAAATAATTTGTACATCTCTGAGTTCATTTGTGTATGCAGTACCGTTCGATTAATGTTTTAAATTTACAATTTATTTCAAAATTAAGAGTTTTAGATGATTTTTTGCCCGACTTATTAAATATCGACACAGGTAAATGAATTTCGGATATTCTACAGACTGTAGACTACAAGGCAAGATTAATTCCTGCAACAATTTCGAGTACAAAGGGCAATTCATTCTGGCATTTAAAAATGTGTTGCTCACGGTGGAGGTCTTCCAGCTTATGCTCTCCGATTTTAACGAAACATCGTGTCATACCAATCGATCATAATCTGTAATGAAATATATACTGTATACAGTCCTAACCATAAAATCTATTTAGCACATGTATTTACACATTTATGAAATGTGAATAAACTAACAAACTTACATATGTATATATTTAATGCGAAATATGAAATATATGTGCAAGAAAATCATCCAGGTAAATACATAAAAATACTTTGCATATTTACATATATAGGTACATATTTCTCATTTTCACAACTCACGAATAGTGCTACCAATGATTTCATATGATTTATATATGCGTTATGTATACATACAATTAGTTATTTATGTATATATGTATGTCCGCTCAGTGTGAACTTGTACGTATTATAAAAATTCTTCATACATAAACCGTATCGTGACATGCTTAATTATGAGAGGATAAAACTCCTCGACAATGCTGGTGTGAATACATACTTACAATATATGTATGTACATATATTATTATGCATTTGCACATTATATGTACATACTCGAGCCATAAGTAAGTCATTCTGAAGAGACATGTTTTCGAATTTTTGGATTCCAGCCAAAATTCGAAAATTTACAGAATTTTTTAAAATCGAGGTTTTTGCTAGAAAATGGTTTAAAATTCGCGCCGCGCGCTCAAATTAGCGCATTATGAAAAATAAAAAAATACGGGTATGCTTATTTTTTGTGCTGAACAAAATAAAATTGGTCCCGTGCAGATCTGAGTTGTACACGTAAAAGACTTGCATTGTTAGAGATTTAATCCGATGTGGGTAATGCAAGACTAAAAATTTTGGTGGGAACATATATGTGCGTAGCTATTATATTCAGCAATCAGAACCAAGAATTGTGCAGTGGTGTGTGTTACCAGTTGAACTTGGCGCTTGATTACACACGTGTCTCACATTGTCCAAGCTTACGTCACCTAGCGCCAGTTGGGTCACTATGTTACATTTTTCGTTTCTAGAGGGCGTTTTTCGCTAAAGTGTCAAAACGTTGACGAACACGAAAACAACGAAACACACCCTTTGGATCTGCCGAGACTTGATCAAATGAACAGGCACACCCCCTAAACTTGACACTTTACCTGTGACCTGGGCACACCCACTATACTTGAACTGTGACCTGGGCACACCCGCTACACTTGACCTGTGACCTGAGCACACCCATTACACTTCACCTGTAACCTGGGCACATCCACTGTACTTGACACTTGACCTGTGACATGGGCACACCACTTGGACTTGACATTTGACCTGTGATCTTGGCACACCCCCTGGACTTGACATTTGACCTGCGACCTGCGTACAATCCCTAAACTTGGCACTTAACGTAGTTGACACTTGACCTGTGACCTGGGCACATCCACTATACTTTGCACTTGACCTGTAACCTGGACACACCCACTACACTTGACCTGTGACCTCTGTGCCCCACGGTATAGTTTACACTTGACCTGTGCCTTACTAATCTTAATTACCTACCAGCGCCACCTATCGGATGTTGGCTGTTTTTCAGCGCTAGAGGGCGGGCTTTTGCTTTAAGTGCCTAAACGTTCTTAAAACGTTAGAACAATGCCATCAGACCCAAGAATTGTGCAGTGGTGTGTGTGTGTGTGTGTTACCAGTTGAACTTGGCGCTTGATTACACACGTGTCTCACATTGTCCAAGCTAATGTAACCTAGCGGCAGTTTGGGCACTATGTTGTATTTTTCGTTTCTAGAGGGCGTTTTTCCCTAAAGTGTCAAAACGTTGACGAAAACGAGAACAACGAAACGCACCCTTTGGATCTGCCGAGACTTGATCAAATGAACGGGCACACCCCCTAAACTTGACACTTTACCTGTGACCTGGGCACACCCACTAGATTTGACATTTGACCTGTGACCTGGGAACACCCACTACACTTGACCTGTGACCTGGGCACACCCGCTACACTTTATTTGCGACCTGGGCACACCCCCTAAACTTGACACTTTACCTGTGACCTGGGAACACCCACTAGACTTGACATTTGACCTGTGACCTGGGCACACCCAATAGATTTGACATTTGACCTGTGACCTGGGAACACCCACTACACTTGACCTGTTACCTGGGCACACCTGCTACACTTGACACTTCATCTGTGATATGGGCACACCGCCTGGCATTGACATTTGACCTGTGACCTTGGCGCACTCACTAGATTTGACATTTGACCTGTGACCTGGGCACACCCCCTGGACTTGACATTTGACCTGCGTACAATCCCTAAACTTGGCACTAAACGAAGTTGACACTTGACCTGTGACCTGGGCACATCCACTATGTGAGCGTCCATAAATCACGTGATCGATTAGAGGGGGGGAGGGGGTCTGAAATTTGTCACCAAATATCACGGGGGGGAGGGGGGCGGGGTAGATGGTCAGATGTCACGTGACATGAGTAAAGTTTTTTTAACTTTTGTATATGCCAATAAATGTCATGAGAGTTATACATAAACTCTCTTGGCATACCACGCGCACGTTATATGAATTTGATTTTCATTTTGGATATTTGGAAACTTGCTTCGACTTAAATTCTTATGTCCGACTGGCGTATTAAATAGTTATTTACACATGTGTGTAGTGTAGCTCTAATTTGATTAATGAGTTAAAAAATATTGTTATGCCGGACAACATGATTTAATTTGAGCATCATATTCTGTCACGTGACCGGTGGGGGGGGGGTAGCGAAATTATCACCACCGGTCACCAAGGGAGGGGGAGGGGTCAAAATTGTCCAAAAATCGATCACGTGATTTATGGACGCTCCCTATACTTGACCTGTGACGTCTGTGCCCCACTGTATAATGGACACTTGACCTGTGCCTTACTAATTTTAATTACCTACCAGCGCCACCTATCGGATGTTGGCTATTTTTCAGCGCTAGAAGGCGGGCTTTTGCTTTAAGTGCCTAAACGTTCTTAAAACGTTAGAACAATGGCATTCTTTAGAGTTGTGACCAAACGTTTTTCGTTGTCACAACCGTTATAGTCGTAACCTAACGTTTTTCGTGGTCACAACTTTTAAAGTCGTGACTGAACGTTTTTCGTGGTCACAACCTTTAGAGTCGTGACCTAACGTTTTTCGAGGTCACCCCCCTTAGAGTCGTGACCAAACGTTTTTCGAGGTCACCCCCTTTAGAGTCGTGACCTAATGTTTTTCGTGGTCAACCCCTTTAGAGTCGTAACTGAACGTTTTTTGTGGTTACCCGCTTTAGAGTCGTGACCTAACGTTTTTCGTGGCCACCCCCTTTAGAGTCGTGACCTAACGTTTTTCGTGGCCACCCCCCTTAGAGTCGTAACTGAACGTTTTTCGTGGTTACCCGCTTTAGAGTCGTGACCTAACGTTTTTTCGTGGCCATCCCCTTTAGAGTCGTGACCTAACGTTTTCCGTGGCCACCCCCTTTAGAGTCGTAACTGAACGTTTTTCGTGGTTACCCGCTTTAGAGTCGTGATCTAATGTTTTTCGTGGCCACCCCCTTTAGAGTCCTGACCTAATGTTTTTCGTGGTCACCCTCTTAAGGGTCGTAACTAAACGAATTTCGTGGTCACACCCACAGAGTCGTGACTGAACGTTTTTCGTGGTTACCCCCTTTAGAGTCGTGACTGAACGAATTTCTTGGTCACAACCATAGAGTCGTGACAGCACGTTTTTCGTTGTCACACCAATAGAGTTGTGAACTCTATTATTAAACATCGTGCTATGAAACGTAACAATCAAGTCCACGCTCCTTTGCTCTGTGTGAAGGTAAATGTGTAACAATTATTCAGCAGGAATTTGTATCGCTAAACTAAATGAAATCGTTTTGCTTAGAGCCCGCATTGCGGGCTTAAGAGACTAGTTTACACTAAAGAGCATTTGCTGCATTCCCCCTTTGAGACTGACAAACTATATTACTAAACACTAAATTCTACTCTTTATCAAGTTAACATTTCTCTACATTGAACTAAATAAATTAAGTAGTATACTTAACTTGTAATTGAGGATGCATTTAGTTTTGAACGTGGTAACGCTAAGTATTTTTAAAAGTGTATGAATTCATGAAATGAGAATGAACTAATATGCATGTATAACATGAAACAAGTTGCATACATAAAATATAATTCTTAAACCACTTATGAATGCATACCGAAAGGAAGTGATCGATGGACTTGTTGGTGACAAACAAAGGTTGACGTAAATTCCAATATGTAAGCAATATTTCAGAAATGTTAATAAGTTAACGTAAAACATACTTTTAAATTGTAATAGATACGTACAGAAAAGAACGATGTACTCCATTGGACGCAGGTAGACGAGGAAGGGTTCAAATCAAACCTTTCACACGTAAATTTTAACATGAGGTAAACAGTTCACCTCCTGGAGTTAGGGTCCAAATTCTTCGTAAGTGGACAACGCACTTAACACCCATAGTTAGTAGGTATTCATAACGTGACTGGTCATTTTTATAAAAAAGGCCAAGTCAACTCACTACTCACTCTTAAAACTCAAAGTTCAAACTAAATTCAGTAGTGAATCAGCCTTAAACACGACGAGAAAGACTGGAATTTTGGCTCAAACAAATTCAAAACATTTTTAGCGAGAAGAAGAAAAAGCGAAAATTTTAACTCCACTGATTCGGTGTAACGGAATCCAGATGGATCTAAAGCCAGGAAAAAAATGGGAATAAGTTCAAGTTCAAGTGTTCTTTTATTCAAGTGTCAATAGATATCAGCTCATTACAAACTGGTTTACAAACCATGACACAAAATGCGTATACATATTTATGTATGTAACTAGACTAAACTAAATATAACGTGAACATGAGTAATTAGATAATTAACAATAAGTGAAATTTCTTCTACCAATAATAAACTCTCGACATTGTGTAACAAATTTTGGATATGTAATGTTACTCTCCCATGATCTTGGGAGTGAATTCCACAATTTCGACGCTCTAACACTTAAACAATTGAGACCCAGCGCTGTGCGGTATCGAGGTACTACCAATAGGGGCCATGAGCGTTGTGTGTATGTACTGCTAGCCGTAGGAACAAGATTGCGGAAAGCATATTTAAGCAAAAATAAATCACGCCGCTCCAGTATTGTAAATAAATTACACTTGTTTAACAGATCAAATGGATTAATAGTGCTAAATAATGTCTTAAATTTAGTATACCTTTTCGACCTCTCAATCTTTCTAGCATAATTTGGAAGAAAATAGTTGGTAAGGAACGAGTTAATCTTAGGATTAGCTTGAATAGCGTCAAGTTGCACATCAGTTTTAACAGCCCATGTATTAATACCATAATCGATTATTGAGTGGATGTGACAACTAATAAATATGGCGAGTAATTTTTCCGTCAAAAAAAACGCTTAATGCCATACAATGTGCCCAGTGCCCAAAAACGTTCAAAATGAAACAGGTCTTCAATCAACACGTCATTACGCACGATCCCGATGCCAAGATAAAATGCCAGGTGAGTTTTTAATTTGAGTTTACGACACTGAAATTACCTTCTGCCTCAATCAAAATAATTACCTATTTATGTAGGTTTGCAGGAATATTTCGAAAAACCGGGCCACCTTGCTTGACCACATGCGAAGAATACACAGTAATCGGGAACGTCCAAATTGTGATCTTTGTGATCGGACGTTTTGCAATTCTCGCAGTTTACTGGGGCACATGAACGCCGTGCACGGCTCGAGAGAACGATCTCGTTTCCCATGCACGTTTTCCGGCTGTGGGAAAACCTACTTGAGTAGAAGAGCTGTTTCGCGACATGTAAAAGCCGAGCATGCCAAAAACCCGGTTCGATTTCCGTGCACCCTTTGCGCTAAAGAGTTTAAACATAAACCACACCTAGAACTTCACATTTCCACCCATACGACGGAAAAGCCGTTCAAGTGTAGCACTTGTGGGAGGGGTTTCGTACGAATCCATGGGATGCAACAACACCAGGTAAAAAACTTAAATACTTTGTAGGAAAAATGCGTATTTATGTATGTACATACATATTTCAGGGATTATTTGTCTCCCAGGTGACACATGTGGAAAAATCAGCAGTGGCGAATTTGAAGTGCACACGTTGTCCTCTGACTTTCTGTAGTAGTAGTAGCTTACGTGAGCATATTCAAGTGTTTCATGAAAATCAGAAGAATCATCCGTGCAAATTTTGTGGCAAAAGGTTCTCTGGATCTAATGATTTGCAACGCCACGTGGAAGCGGTACACCCCGCGAGCGAGGATAAGATTAATTCCTGCGACAAATGCGAGTACAAGAGCCACTCGAAACACAATTTAGTAAGGCACAAAGCTCGGCATGATGTTAAGAAACATGAATGTTACTTTTGTGGGAATAGGTTCGTCTGTTTTCGAAATCTCGTCCGCCACTGTGGGCTCATTCATACTTTGGAAAAGTAATAATTTGATAATTTCTAATTTTTGTGTTATGCAGTATGTATTTATGTTCGATTAATGTATTAAAGATATAATTTACTCCTAAGAATTTGTTCCTAATTTATTTATAAGAGTGTCACCGGAGTTTTTTGAGTGTAGTTAGTTTCATCCCTATAACCCACTGCTTCCTAAAACCCTATATACGAGCTTGTGCTATTTTGGTGATACGACTCATCCAAAGAAATACCTAGGATGAGCAACTTAACTTGAGAAATATTCCACAATTTTTCTTACCCACATATGAATTTTTTTATGATAATTAATTGGCACGATAGGATGCCTCTTAGTCTCAGCTACAAGTCTGAACCGCTTTTTCCTTGATGAAAACATTTCCAGACACTTTTGAAGAATTATTTTTAACCACTAGTCCTGAAAACTTTTCCAAAGTCCATCTTAAGTCGTAGCTAATTCGTAAATTTTCTCCCGACGTACAGCAAACTGGCCTTGTCCCGTTACAGTCATCTACCCTGAACAAAGCTTCGTCGATTGTGACCACTGTTTCGTCCAAAGCTCCAGCAAGGTGGTTCTTGTACAGCTTCCGAGCGTTGGTCCGCCGATGGGGTGGATTTGGTGGGGGTGGGGGTGGATTTGGGTGGGGGTGGAATTATAAATGCCGCGTTCTGTACTTAATATTCCATGAATTGAGTCCAATGAAATTTCATGTCCACGTGCATTGACCGTTTTTTGATAACACTTCCGGTACAACCCTGGCTGGAAAACTTTTTCACTAGTAACTCCACTTAAAATGATCAGGGATGAGCAGTTTTTCAGATTTTCAAGTCGAAAAAAATCACAGTTTGAGCTAATTGGTTTGTCTATCAAACATTGTAGGCCGCATTTGTTTAAGTTAGGACAGTTTTTTCGCGCGAGCGTTTGAAAATTTCTCAAGTTAAGTGGCCCATCCTCTGTATGTACTCTGTATATGCACATACGTATATGTACATACGGACTTCGTAACTATTGTGCTTTTCATGATTCAATGATGCACAGTCAGTCTGGTTCAAGCGCCGGGGAATTGGAACTTAGTACCTGGGAAACGTCACCCAAAAGTTCCGATCCCCTGGACATTTTAGTTATGCAAGTTACAGGGAAACGGAACCCACTTGTCGCAGGATTTAGCGGGCTTCGATTCCCCGGTACCCTCTTACGCAAAAGTTACGATTCCCCGGAACCCAACATTTTTCTTTCATTTTTCATAAATTGAATAAATTCCCAATAAAAAATTTTATTGTCTCAAATTAACAGTCAACCAATGAAGAACATTGGATAAAAAAATTAGAATTTTTTAAAGTGGCGTTTTTCCTAAAATCACAAATATCTGACAAATTTGAGGAGCGGCAAGCTCAAAAAGGTCCGGGGAATCGTCACCCAACAATTATTTTCAGAGAAAAATGCAATTATTTTTGGAAAAAAATAATTGTAACATAATAATAACGCAATAATTGTAACAAAAACTATAAAATAATGGTATTTTTCCCTGAAAATAATTGTTGGGTGACGATTCCCCGGACCTTTTTGAGCTTGCCGCTCCTCAAATTTGTCAGATATTTGTGATTTTAGGAAAAACGCCACTTTAAAAAATTCTAATTTTTTTATCCAATGTTCTTCATTGGTTGACTGTTAATTTGAGACAATAAAATTTTTTATTGGGAATTTATTCAATTTATGAAAAATGAAAGAAAAATGTTGGGTTCCGGGGAATCGTAACTTTTGCGTAAGAGGGTACCGGGGAATCGAAGCCCGCTAAATCCTGCGACAAGTGGGTTCCGTTTCCCTGTAACTTGCATAACTAAAATGTCCAGGGGATCGGAACTTTTGGGTGACGTTTCCCAGGTACTAAGTTCCAATTCCCCGGGACTTGAACCAGACTGACAGTAGGCTATGGAGCGGCTGTGTAGGACAAAGGAAAGGGTGGTAACGAGTCCAGCGCCGATTCCTGTACCAAACATTGTTCATAAAATCTAGATTATTTTTAATATAACAACCAGGTCATTTCGTCTGCCCCCCTTTGAGATATTTGAGTATTTGAGTATTATTTGTATACTTTTTCCAAGGCGAGCCAAAAAAAAGTTCACAATGTCCCAAGTACTCCTTTGGAAATAACGTTTGATTATGAAGCGTTTTAGAGATATCCTGCCCAAGGACGGACGGACCTACGAAACGGTTCCAATAAACCACCGACGCCACTTAATCATCCTTAATCTCCCCGAGGGAAAGATTACACTAAACTTTTATAATTTTAGCAAAGATTTCCAAATGCAACTGAATATTACAAAATTCAAAGATCCAGTCCAGTTTAATTTTACCATATACTTGCTTATCACTTTAGCAATACTTTCACACAATTTTCGGCCCTCACATAACCGTCAACTTTCGACACTATGTCATGTTAATTGCTTAGCAGATTTACATAAGCCAGCGACGCACATCTTATCCAACGTTTTGCAATGCCTGATTCCCACATATTGGTCATAAAACCAGGCCAATCGCTGTATAGATCAAAACTCATCCATAAATACACACGTGTCCAATAAACTGAGGGTAAATAATCCGATGATAAAATATACAAACGATTCCGACTGAATATATTTACATGGTTGCAAAGGACAACAATGTGTGAGTTCAATCATTAAACACACTAAAATTTAATCACATTAATCACATTAAAATTTTTTTCCGGTGGATGCTAATGAAAAAATGTTGTAGCAGCATTACTATATTTCAGTGAATAAAATAAATCTTCCTTAAGAATTTTGTAAAATAAATATATAGATATTGCATCCAAATTAGTTAATTAGTGTATTTACGCATAGCACATATTTCAAGCTTATTACAACACAATTGGTAATTAGACCAACGGCATTGGATTTATTGTATTTTTTGGTGATGAAATTCCTACCAGCTAAACTTACATGCATATCAGACTAACATTAGAAGACGTTCAATTCCAACCTATCTATCAGCAAGTAATAAAGTTCATGCAATATATCTACACAAACATGTAACACATACATGTATGATCACTAACAATATTAGCATTCCATTTTGCAGCTGGAATATCCTGTGTCATCATTAATCGCATATGGAAACATGCGTAAATTATTTACAAATTAATAAGCTAAAATATTTATCTGGATGTATCGTACAGATAGTTATAAAAATTATTTATTTTCCAAAGTATGTATATGACCACAGTGGCTGACCAAATCTTGAAAAGTGAAGAATTTCTTCCCACAAAAGTAGCATTCACGCTTCTTGGCACCGTGCCGTCTTTTATGAGCGATTAAATTGCGCTTCGACTGACTCCTGTACTCGCATTTGTCACAGAAATGAATCTCCTCCTCGTTCACGGGATGTTTCGCCTGCACGTGGCGTTTCAAATCATTGGATCCAGAGAACCTTTTGCCACAAAATGTGCACGGATGATTCTTCTGATTTTCATGAAAGACTTGAATATGCCCTCGTAAGCCTGAGCTTGTTAGAAAAGTCATTGGACAAAGTTTACACGTGAAAACCTTTCGTTCCGATTTTTCCAAATGTGTCACCTGGAAAATTAATATAAAGAATTGTCATCCAGTTTTTTATTCATTGGCGTATTTACCTACCTCGTGTTGCTGCAAGTTTGACCTTTGGGAGAAACTCCTCCCACAAGTGGCGGCGGCGCACTTGAAGGGCTTCTCGGTCGTGTGGGTGAAAATATGACCCTGAAGGTGTTTTCTGCGTTTAAATTCTTTGCCACAAAGTGTGCACGGAAATTGGACCGGATTTTGGGAGTGTTCAGTTTTTACATGGTGTGAAACACTCTCCTGGCTGAGGTAGGTTTTCTCACAGCCGGGAAATCTGCATGCGACACGAGATCGTGCCCTCGATCCGTGCATGATGTCCATGTGCCTTTGTAAGTAGCGAGAATGGCAAAAGCTCCTGTGACAAAGATCACAATTGGGACGGGCTCGGTTGGTGTGCATTCTTCTAATGTGGGCTGCTAAGGCGACCGGGTTTTTCGGAACTTTCCCGCAAACCTAGGCAGTTCGTACATCTGATTGCTGCCTTTGTAAAGTTAATTAAAATGGCACAAGTTCGATTAAAACCTCACCTCGCATTTCATCTTTGCGTCGGGATCGTGCGTGACAAGGTGTCTTCTCAAGTCACTGTTGGTTTTGAACGTTTTTGAGCACTTTGGACAATCCAATTTTTTCCTTGGCTTCAGACCCATCTGGATTTCGTTTCAGCGAATCAATCAAGTTTAACTTTTCACTTGATCGAAACGTTTTGAAATCTAACTCCAACTTCCAGTCGTGGCTGGTCGTGTTTAAGGCTGCTTTATTACTAAATAGCTCAATTCACCTTTTTTTAAATAAAACAACCTGCCAGGTTTTAAGTAACGTCCACCTTCGTAGAATTTGCACCATCACTCCAGGCGATGAACCTTTTTCCTCATGCTTAATTTCAGGGGTGAGAGGCGAGCCATTCCTCTGTCATCCATCGCATATTTCTCTTCGGTACTTAAGTACATATTCATTTATGTCGTTTATTTTAAAAATTATATTTCAGGCCATAAATTTTCTACGAAGGTGCAGTTCACCCATGAAATGTAGAGCAATTCGCCAAAAATTACTGACATATTATATGCACATGCACATATCAGAAAAAAACCATCTTCCACTGTTGCTTCTACTAGAACAAAACTACTGCCCTTGAGCAATTTCGACAACAGTCATATTCTAGCCTTGGAAAGTAGGAGTTTTGTTTCAAATCATGAATGTGCTAATTTTACATGTTTGCATGTATATATCTTTATGACGTGAATGTGATGAGCTGTAATTTTGAGGTAAATTAGTTTTCTAAATACATATTTATGGAATGTTCACAAACTCACAGGCGTGATATGATATGCGAAATATAACTTCCCCATCTACATAAATCCATACCGAAAGTAAGGGTGCGACGAGTGACTCAGGAAGGGTTCTCATAAAATGCTGAACATGAAAATTTTGGCAAAAGGTTCACCGCCTGCAGTTCGGGTCCAAACTCTACGAGAATGGATAACTAACTTTACGGAGGCATGTTATTAATAAGTGGCTGGTTATTTTTATAGAAATTGTGTAGGAAACTTACTCATCGTTTAGGGACGATTGTTAGAAAGTACCACCTTTTCCAGACCGTTTATCACTCACTCTTAAAACTCTACAAATATGTACTTCGTAATAAAACGGGCCTTGAGCAGGGCGAGGAGACGACTGGATTTTTGAAAAATCCAAAGCCTTTTTAGCTAGTGAATATTTTAACTCAATAGATTCGCAATAACGAAATCCGTATGGAACTGAAGCCCGAGAATAAATGGGAATGTCCCACTTGTTCAAAAACCTTCAAAACTAAGCAACATTTTACTCAGCACGTCGTCACGCACGATCCCAATGCGAAGGTGAAATGCGAGGTAAGCTCCTTCTACTCGAAGTTTGTGACAGTTAAGTTAACTTAAAATAAATTCTACCATCAATATGTATTACTTACATAGTTATGCGGAATAATTTCGAAAAACCCGGTTGCCTTGGCTTCCCATGTTAAAAGAGGTCACAACAACCGGGAACGTCCAAATTGTGATCTTTGTCATCGGGAGTTTTCATCATCGGGAGTCATCGCATAATCCGAGTCGGATTGATCCGAAGACCCTAAAATCCGATCCGATCCGATCCGAACCCATTCCTACTTGGAATCAGTAAAAATACACATCTATTTACCTGAGTCACTCGCTCTAAAATGTAAAAGGTGTAGTTCCATCGGGTAGGGGCTGGTTTTAGAAGTACTTTACCCAACACCTTCTTTAGTCGTTTTCGCCAGTAACTGGATCTCATGAAATATTTTATAATGTTGTTGGCACAATCCAATACATCTTTTGGCCTTCCTCCTTTGGCTAGAACATCCTTCACAACGAGTTGGAAACGATGGGCATAGCATGAAAATCTGAATATTTCCCCAAGTGAAATGTTCACGCTCTCCTCAGTGTCCGCGTCCGAGTCGTCAATTACGCTAAGGTCTGAGGTTTCATCTTCCTCCTCGTCCGAGCATTCACTTTGATCGGAACTTTCTTCGCTATCAGTATCGTTTGTAACGTCGAGTTCCTCCACAGCGCTCTCAGCGTTTTCAGTATTTTGTTCTGTTTCATTAATCCAATCGCGGAATCCACATACCATGTTGCTAGCACCATCTGTTATAAGGTAGCCAATCTGTGAATTAATTAAGGAAATAAAATTAAACAAACATTCCCGTTATGTTTGCAATTGAATAGATTTGACTCCTCTATAATTAAATATCAATTTGTACTGTGTTAACTCACCTTATCGTGGCCAATACCTAAACCATTCAGGCAATTTGTAAAACTATTTTTTATGTTTTCCCCAGTGTGCCGGTCATTAAATTCCTCAGCAGCTAATACTTTTGAGACGAGGTTCCAACTTCTGGGATTTTCAGTTTTTTCGATGTAATGACATTTAATTCCTATGATCCCGTCGCCTTGTTTAGTTGTCCAAATATCTGTGGTCACGTGCACATTGTGGTCCAGTATTTTCAAAAGTGGGATTTTTATATTGGGTTTTACCTATTATAGAAATTAAACTTCTTGTTAAATTTATAATCCAAGTTACACAGAGTTGTCAAATTAGTATGTGTTTAATTTAGGACTTTAAAAGCTCACAGTTTTATCTACGGTGTTATTTAATCTTCTAGCTAGTGTGACTCGGTCTGGGAAAGTCACGCGAGGGTTAAGATCGGTTATTAAATTCCTAAAACCAATGCCGTTAATAAATGAATACGGAAGACCATCAATAGAGACCAGGTCTAGTAGATTTGAATTAAATCGAGACTGAATTGGGTCGGTGTTTGAATATCCAGCCTGAGTTGAAGAAATAACCTCTTTAACAGTATGATTAGGCTTGACTTTAACTGCAATATCCTTATGCGACAGCTAAAATTAGAATGTAGAGAAACATTTAGACAACTTAAAATTTAAATTTGGATAGATTATAAGTACGTAAATATAATTCGTGTTACCCGATAATGCCGATTTCCATTAGATTTGAAATTGCCTAAGTCAAAGCAGTAAAGTTTGCTTGAACAGTGTTGAACTCAATGCATGTTTTGCAAGTTGCGACAAACTTGTCTGATGATTTTTTGTGTCAAATAAAGTTCGAATTTGTGGTAGGATTTCAAATCCAGTTCGCTTAACAAGATCTTGTAAGCCGGAGCAGCCTTCCTCTTCATCGTCTTCAACGTTACTAGCTGACCTCGTTAGAAGGGTAGATAGATCTCTTTGGCTGGTTTTCTTTTTGATTCCTTTACCAGTAGTGGAATTTAATTGCCCTTTTTTAGAATGTTGATTCGCCATTCTGAACTTTAGCTGGAATAAAAATGAAAAAAATCAAAATATAAACAAAATTCAAAACTATAATTTAAATTTGATAAAATTACGACTTACATTTTACATTGAAGTAGAATGATCACATAATAAAATTACTGAGAACTGAATCAAATTAGTGACATTCAATTAATTTGTTAGCCGAAGTTATGCAGCAGAATATTAAATTTCTATCAGATCCATGCGTAAAATTGTGAAGACCGCAGGTACTTGGGCAGCATTTAGAGTTTCGTTCGTGTTAAAATGAGAATGAAATGAGACACTTCGCTTATGTACAATTGAAAGGAGTGATGCGAGAAATGAAGAGAATGAACGCCAATCACATATTCGCGTTCACGCACGAAACTACTCCATCAAATATTTCATTCACACTCACTCACCAACCTACTGCATGAAATATTTCATTCACACTCACTCACAAAATGATGGTCAAACCTTTCATCAATCATTTTCATTCACGCCAAGGAAAATTCATATTCATTCACACTCATTCGCCCTCATACTCACGTGCGTGAATGAAAGTGAACAGGTATGGGCAAAATGAGATTTTTACTGAAATTGAATCCATGTATAGATGAAGTATGTTGAAATTGAGTATCCCCGCGTTATCCTGTGCATCTTTTGGTAGGAGTGAGACCGAAGCTATGTATTTCGCGTGCGTTTGCTACGGTTTATTCCTTCTTCAATGTATTTATGAATTCAGCCGCAATCATTGACCAAATTCTGAAAAGAGGCAAATTTCTATCTACCCACCAAATTGACACCCATATTGCATTTTATATTTATTTATTCACATTCCATAAATAAATCCATGTGTAAACAAAGTAAATTTAATACGGAGCTAGTATCCGTAGAATAAAACTTAGCACATTTCGCCACATATTATCGGAAAGAAAATCCTATATTTCCAAGGAAAGGAAATGATAGTGTTTCTCCAATTTTCAAAAGGCAAGTAATGTCTTCCTGTGGAGTACTGGATAAAATCTGTGCTCAGCAGCCATCGAGTCACACCTTGCGTCTTCCGTGAATGCATAAATTACTTCTTCTGTACCAGAAGTAATTTCTTCTCCAATGTATGAATGAGCCCGCAATGGCTAACCAAATTTTGAAAAGTGAATTTCTTCCCGCAAAAGTAACATTCATGCTTCATAGCATCGTGGCCTCTTTCATGCCTACATAGATAAATTACTCTTCATTTGACTCCTGTACGCGCATTTGTTGCAGGAATGAATCTTCTCCTTGCTCGCGGGGTGTACACCTTCCACGTGGCGTTTTAATTTATACGACGTCGGAAACCTTTTGTCACATGATGTGCATCGATGCAAGCCCTGCGTTTCATGAACAGCTCGGATATGGTCTCGTAAGCCGAAGCGAGTAAAGAAAGAGAGCGGACAAAGTTTGCAGTTCAAAATCTCTCGTGTAGATGGTTCTCAATGTGTCAACTGAAAAATAAATGTGCACTTTGATTTTCCCTCCATTTTTCCTACAATATATTTATTTATTTACCCCGTGTGATTCCAACTTTTTAATTGGCTGGACCTTCATTTTATTAAGGGGTGAAAACCCCTTTATGGAAATGTCTTGTCTGTCTATCACAGAATATAGATTCTACCAGAAGAATCGATCTTATGTATTCGAGTGACGCTTATGGAAGAACGGGGAGAGCCAACCAAATAACTCGGTGTACATTTGGCCCACCTGGGGGATGGCACCTCCGCATCATCATCATCACCACATCTCCTGGCATCAAAAAATGATGATGAAAGCACATAGGTGGCGGTGGCACCCGGATTTGTGCACCAAAACACACCCTCGTAGAGCATCAAATTTGTGGAGACGCAGCTCAGAATGGTGTGTTCTGGTGCACAAATGGGGGTGCCACCGCCACCTATGTGCTTTCATCATCATTTTTTGATGCCAGGAGGTGTGGTGATGATGATGATGCGGAGGTGCCATCCCCCAGGTGGGCCAAATGTACACCGAGTTATTTGGTTGGCTCTCCCCGTTCTTCCATAAGCGTCACTCGAATACATAAGATCGATTCTTCTGGTAGAATCTATATTCTGTGTCTGTCTATCCGTCCGTTTCCACGATAACTTTAGAACGGATTCGAATTTCGACATGCGGTTTTCGCCAACGTTTTATAATTTTTGGGGACGGGATGAGTTCGAAAATGGGCGTTGTAGGTCGTAAGGTCACGGCGCTACGGTAATCGAAAAATGACTTTTGTCATGTGGGGTGTCTATTGAAAGGTATTGTCGTGTACGTTTGAACTACGCAGGTGGGGGTGTCAAAACGGGGCAAAATGAGACGTGGGGTAATGTGAGACAATGACGGGAAAGTGCAGAAAGAGGTTATGGGCGTGCCACAAAGACAATTCCGTGTGTTTTCACCCCTTTGCTACATTTCGTTTGCACGGTTTATTCAGTTTTATTTACGATAAGTTTGCAGACGTATGTATGTATACTTGCTAGAAACGATTTAGTAGTGAAGAAAACCAATAAAATTTGTGTTGCATGTGTCAGAAATATTTGGGAAAAAAGTAAACCAACTTTTGGCAAAACGCTTCTATATTTTTTACAGCACTTATGTATTTACGTAGATAATTCACCTTCGTCGTGGTCGTGGAATGCATAGTGTTGAGAGCAAAACAATGGTAGTTCATATCGCACGAGGACCACCTGTACATACATGTATGGTCTGAAAAAGGTAGATTTTTTAAACCTGAGCGGACATGTGGAATCTTATTGTTAGCTCCATTCTTTTTTGTTTGAGCAATAATGACCAAACAGGCTTAGGGACTTTTTGAATATTTGTATAATGGATACATTTTGGAGTTATTTATGCATAGTTCTTTATGCATATCTGCTCGAATGCCCATTAACTTGGAAGCGACGGGATGTTTATATATATATAATGATGCATTATATGTATATTTATATGCAGTTGAAGCTTCGAGGGGACAATTTTTCACGATTCTATAAATATTGAGACAAAAAATTAAGCAAGCATTGAATCCATGGTTTTCCACACAAATGAACACCCTGGATTTTAAAATTTTTTGTAAATAAGTTCATTGGCCAGTGGTTGCCCCTTCTTCAGTCTTAATGCATATGTATTCAGTTTTAAGGAAATAAGTTGTTAAAAAGAGTTGCAGAGAGGGATTGGTAAGTATGTGAGGTTGGCATTATTTCTGATCCATGCACATGTTTTCAAAACTCGAGAGCAAGTTGGGTCGCTTTTAAGTAGTAACCAGTTATCTGGTTGAGGGGTCCATGTGAGAAGGTGTATATTTGTGTCCCTTGGTCCATGTGCCTAACCACGTGCTCACTTCACGTAAGTCGTTATTTTCGACATTAGCAAAAACTACAGTGCAAATTAGGAAGAAATGAGGTAAGGTTTGCACAATTAGATAGGATAAGCACTAACCAAGCATCACGGATTAACGAAAGTGGGTGTAATTGTGGAATAGGTGGAAATCAACATGGAGACAGCAGGAGGATATAAATTGGAATGTCCACACTGTTCAAAAAAGTTTGCCAAAAAAGACAAGTTTGCCAGACATGTCGCGACACATGATCCAGATGCCAGAGTAAAATGTGAAGTAAGTTTCGCAATATTTCCATAATCATATTTTGCATGTCATGTCCCAAAAGAAAATTGTAGGATTGTAAAATTAGAATTAAAATTAAAACCTCTTTTACTCATCAAGATTTGCGGGAAGATGTTAAAAAACGCCTCCCTCTCCTCCCATATGAAACATTTACACGGCAACCCGGCCAGAATAGCGTGCACCACGTGTCCCAAAACTTTTTCCACGGCGGGATATTTTCGACAGCATCTCGCAACCATTCACAGCTTGGTGGAACGACCCCGCTATCCGTGCACATTTCCGGGCTGTACGAAATCCTACCTGGACCATGGGCACATTGCAAAGCATATTAAAATGGAACATGTCCAGAATCCGGCCCGATTTCCGTGCACGCTTTGCGGAAAAGAGTTTAAGGCGAAGAAAGATCTCGGGCGTCATATTGGGAAACACACGAAGGAAAAGTCTCACGTGTGCGGCACGTGTGGAAGAGGTTTCAGAGAAATGTCCGATTTGAGGGGGCACGAGGTAAGAAGTATTTTCAATTCTGGGATATACAAATTCGAAATTAAAAATTTGTCTACTCGGTTTCATTTCATGCAGTGTTTCTGGTGCAAATTATCACTTGCTCTCAACTTATCACAGAATGACTATTTAATCCTATCGTATTATTCTCCCTTCTCGGTATAATTTGTAGGTCACCCACCAAAATAAGGCCACCAGGACACTTTTCCAATGTCAACTCTGTCCTCGGACTTGTTTCCGTTCAGCTAGTTTGCGTCAGCACATTCGGACCATGCACGAGAAAGAGAGGAACTACGTTTGTAGATTTTGCGATAAGAAATTTATGTCACCAGAGGTTTTAAGGAACCACGAGCGAAATATACATTCCACAAACCAAGATGATTTCCCCTCTTGTGACAAATGTGGGTACAAGACTTTCTTTAAGCACAATTTGAGAAGACATATGAAAAGACATGAAACTGAGAGTGGATTTGACTGCTACTTCTGTGGAAAGAATTTCATCATTTTTACAAGATTGGTCAAACATTCTTGTAGATTGCATACAATGGAGAAATATGAGAAATATTAATTTATTATATAGAAAATGAAGTACTCTAAATTTATTGCTACGGGTAACCTCATTTGCATGAAATTCACATTGATTATTGTGTAATTGTTGGTGATACGGGCTCTCTAATGGGTCAAATATGAAAATTAGACGGTACACTAGAAACAAACCTTTTTGTGAGTAAAGGTGCGTTATGCTTCACGTCATCATGTCCTCCTCCAAATCCGATTTTTTGATTGGTTAAAATTTTTAATTGTCGTAGTGATAATTTCGTTCAGCCAATCAAAAAATCGGATTTGAAGGAGGACGTGACGATGACGTGAAGCATAAACACCACTTAAAAGGGTAAATACATTCATTTTCCCGGAATTATTCCGGTATTCTAATTTCTACATCTATCAGTAAAGTGTGGGGCATGGAAAAGCATTAATAATGCTGCATTATCTACCAGTTTTCGTATATGTAAGTATGTACATATGCACTCTTCTCATTATCAGTGCATACATAAATATTTATGCAGTTTTGTAACCAAATCCCAACAGATATGCAGTTGCAAATTCATAAATAAGTTCAATAATTGTACTATTTTATTTAAGCTATATACTTCTGTACATTTGACATTACACTATGATTATTTGTGGTTTTCGTTATATATATCTACCTAAATGTACACAATAGTACGCAAGCGTATATCTATTTACATACAACATCGATCATACAATCACATGCATGTATGTATATATGTATAAATAAATTTAAATAAATGCATATTTATGCATGCAAGTGCAATTTCAAGTGGACTGTGGTCACGATTCTATAAAAGTCTATCATATATATGCTTTTAATACGATCCCATGCATCCTGGCATGATGAAAAAAATATTTTGTAGCTTAATTTTAGTCGGCAGATGTTTTATTTTTTTAAATTGAGTTTTACAGGTTGAGTGATTCTAGTTTTGTGGCACCTACATATGTATATGTACATAGATATTTGTTTATGTAAAATTGCTAACCTTATTGCAAACAATGGCGTCCTGATATTTTTATAGTCACAAACTATTCGCACGGAAAATGCATTTCAAATTTGCAAGAAACTTGAAGTAACAAAAGCTTCGTAACACAAAATTATTACAGTGGGATATGTAAACACCATCATATCAAAAAGTGTGATAAAACAAACTCACAAGCATATACATACATATTACAGTGGAAATTTGAAACCCTGAGATTTTGCAATTGTTATAACTGGAAGACTGGATAGCTACGTAGGTACGTACATATTTATTTATCACACGGTAAGGTTAAGTTCATCGAGTAATTATTTATTTATCATAAGTATGTGCATGTGTGTTGACTTATCGACTATTATATGTTATCTTATCGACAAAACTGTTTCCCATTATTCGAACTTGGTAATTCAAGTCCTCACTTAAGTATTTGTATGCATCCATCGTATTGATTTGTTGCAGAATAAACACTTCAAATTTTATGTATCAAACTTTATAACGAGGCAGTAAATGCTACCTATTATACTAGTTGCTTCGAAATATCGCGAAATCCTAGGCTAGAAAACTAACAGATTCTGTACAGGTAAAACCATAAATTATCGATTAGGATATTCGTGATTTCTTTCGTACCCCATGACGGCTATGGGATTTTGTAATCGTCGTAAGATTTTGTCATAAAAAATCACGGTTTTTACGAACCTTTGTTTTATCTTCGTAAATTATTTTACGATATTAAGGATATGAAGAAATATTAATGAATACTTTCATATTTTATAATACAAAAATTCTACCCATGTAAATATTCAGTTCTCTTAATTTCAATTTTCAAACAGATAAACACAAAATATGGACGACGAAACAGTTGCTCTCATATTGGCGATATCGATTGCCGTGCTAGTGGTTATCGGTCTAATATTTTGGCATTTTTATCGTCGCTGGAGGAAACGCAATTCACAAGGACTCCAAGAAACTCGTCATCGTGACGTTCGAAGAGTTTATCAAGATATTTTTAGTAGTGCTAGTTCGCAAGAAATCAGAGGCACTCATCGGTCCCACGTTCCGGAGGCTCGAATAGTGTATCAAGATATTTTCACTGTGTCTGGTTCGGAACATAGGCGTGAATTACCAACTGCAACACGGCAGCAGAGGTAATGAACACACGGTCACGGAGACCAGTCGAGGAATGAGTTCGTATTTTGTATTCGTTTCATAATTTCGAAAAATTTTTATTGTTTCGGAACTAAATGTACTGATAAATACATATGTAAATACATAAATATGTAAAACATATCATATATTATAGTGACCCCACAAGACGAAATTACGAATATCCCTACTACACAAATGAGCTGGAACTCACGCACGTGACGCCTGTAACACGTGGTCCATTACGGCAGCAAAGGTAATTGTCAATTGGTTGGTAGAGGTTGTCCTGGATTCCGGATTCTTTCATAAAATTTAATGCTAATTAAAAATTTTGCTTCCATTGGTTTGAAATATATTTAAATTGTTATATGTGTATAAATGAAATGTTTACATGAAGTAAGTTAGGAATATTTTGGATTGTAGCGGATTTTCAAATAGAAATTTCGAGGACGATCTTTATCCTGCATATGGCTTGGGACGCAGCCGAGCTGCTGCACCTGCTAGACGGGATCCACCCTCGAACCAAAGGTAAATATGTATTTGTGAGCGTATATGTAAGTCACACCGGGGAGGTAGGGGTTAAAATTTCCCGAAAATCCATCACATACTTTATGTACGGCCCCTATAGAAATTGGTTGGGACCCGAACTCCATATCTGGTCGAACTTTGTCTATCTTCTCTGAGATTTTCGGATAATTTCAAAACTAATGGAAGGGGATACACATATTTCTAGTACAAAATTGTATTCAAAGTAAATTAATTTTATCTTTCAACCTTGCAAGGCATGTTGACATCAAAGTGATTGCGCAATTTTAATCAATTTTATTTCAAATAAAAAAAAACATGACATCACATGTGTTTGTCCCTTCCAGCTACTATTACGCAGTTTCCACTGCTAAAAAGTCCTCCGACAGTTAGCTCGTACCAAGAATACCCCGGCTCTATCAGATATGGAACTCTGGTTTGCAAGAGTTAATATGTTTAACTAATTCATTACAGATCTAATACCGCGTACAATAAGTACAATGTAATTACGTTGTACGAAAATGAGCGTAAGAAGGATTCGTATGAATCCGACTTGGATTCTGATTCTTCCGACAAGGTTGCACAGCAGACGTATGAAGCAAAGAAATTGACGGGAAACGAAATTTTAAGAAAAATTCAAAATAATATGGTCCTAGACAAGGAACTAAACCATGCAATATCAGTTGTGGAAAGTACGGCTGCTGTAATAATCGGAGTAGACGCCACACCGCATAATATTGGGGGCTATTTCATAAATCTGGCTCAAAAACGGGGAGAATTCTATTCTTTTCCTGTCGATAAGTTACCCTGGACCCTTACGCCGAAACAAAATAGGGCGGGAAATCCGGCCGAATTTGAAATGAAGAACCTAATTTTTGCTCTCTACCTGTGGAAAAATGAGCTCTGTCAGAAAGGCCCGTCTTTCAAAGCGATCGTATTCACAGACAATTTCGATTATGATAAAAAGCAGACACCGTACGGAATTCGGGCACATCGATTAGTTCGACATTTACAAAATTGTGAAAGAGTTCAGATCGAGGTCAGAGTGAAAGGCACGAACGAGACGGATATCGAAGATCACGCCAAATTTGTTAAACCTGCGGACGACTTCTCACGAAAGAGGTTTAAAGAAGGGCGGAATTTTTTGTTTGATTACTTTGGCGTGATTAGGCAAAACTTAACGGGGTCACATGATCCTCCTATTTATGTAAGAAATGATGTTTCAAACACTACACGTTTTGCGATACGTGAGTTAATAAATGGGCAAATTGATGATTTTTCATTTTAGGGGACACATTTTAAAGAATCTATAAAAGCGAGGGAACAATTGGAGCGGGTAAGTATAAAGATAAATGTATTCACAATGATAATCCAGGGGTGAAGCTGCTAAATGTACGGTATCCAAGGAGTAGGGATATTTAGGGGATGGTGCCTTTGCTGCAATTTACAAAAACTCATGATAATTTGTTTGTATTATTTGTAAATACATACATAGGTATTTGTAGAAACTTTTAAACTTTTCGTAATTACAATGTGTATGTATCTGTACAATTTATACTGGGATTATTACCGTTGATTAATTCAGTTGTGTCGTTGTCATTGCAGATGAAGAAAAATCATTCCAAATTTAAGTACATGGAGTGTGAGAGTTGTAATTTTGAAGAAAATAGTCCGTCCCTTCGTTCTGTCGTAATTTAATGCTTTAATGCCGGTGGCCCCAATCAAATTCATGTACATATCAAATGTCCTCTCAAACCATGCAAAATAGGATATCAAATTCATGTACATATCTATAATGTAATATTTTAAATAAATAATTACTATAGCTTCTTTAACTATATTAATTATAACTAGTTGTCAATTAAATAATTTGATTAGAAACGTCTGGCATGGAGAAGTCACTTGGTGATTGAATTCTAGGAGTTAAAAAAATTGAATACAATCCCGACGAGATAAATTGTCCGGTTGCGGACTTTTTGAATCAATTCCGATCACAACATACAAAAGCATGACTCACTAACTGATGTGCATAGATACCTACTGTACTATGTACTGTTGCATGTACATGCCTATGTAAGTACATATATTTATATGCATAACGCCATGGCTGAATTTTCTTGCGGCCCCCGCAACGACTTTTTACATATTTGAGACTTTGAGACGCGATAAAAATCCTCTGTTGACCATACCTTTCAAAAATCAAAATTAACCACATTTTATACTTTGCTATCCCCATTTAACGACTATACATAGATCTTAAAATAATGTATTTGCTTCTTTAAGGTTTTTGGCACACAGTGAGTTACTACGTCTAGATTCATGAGTGTATGTATCTACGCATTTAGTACTTATAAGGTATATGTACTTATGTATGCATGTGCATATATTTACATACGCACATTCATCTGTCTAATGCTTTGACTACGATCTCATGCATCCTGCCACGAGGGTAGCAGGGTGAATATTTCATACATACATAAACCGTTATATGGATTTATTACCCTGTTATGTACATATTGTTATGCATTCCCTCCTGGCTGTGCATATGCATCCTGGAATAGTGAAGAAACTCATGTTTAAGTTTCTTTTCAAGTCAGCAGCTAGACGAAAAATTGAACCCACATGTTGTAACAATAATGAACATAGTCTTATCTAATATGTTTTTAACTTAATTTGTTAAGGATTGAGTGACTCCTGTTGTGTGTTACGTGTCGCGTGCATAAATACCCGGGCATCAAGTGCAGCGGAAGTAGAAAGGAAATCCTGTTCGGCAATATCGGACAGAACACAACGCTAAGGTTTTGACCAGGTAAAATCACCATTGTTTAATGCAGAAATTCCGTATCATACAAATTTGTAAGATAAATATTTATATATATTAAAAATATATATATTTAATAAAATTCATAATCCCGTTGTATAATTTTCAAACAGAAAATATGGACCCCGTTCCAGCACTATTAGTTGGCCTCTTATTACTATTCGTAGTACTGATTGTCGGCCTATTATTGACGTATTGTTATCGTCGCTGTAATGGAAGTGCACAAGAAGTCAGAGACACTCATGGCTCGAAAAGGTAATTATTTTATTCGATACGGTTGGCAATTGGCATGACGTGAGAGGTAAGATTTCAAAGCGAGCATTTCCTTGTCATTCGAATGTATGTATGTAAACATTATGGTATTTAATTAAATGAAATATTTAAAAGGAAAATATGCTCAGTATTTGCAATTCAAAATCATCCCTCAGTTTTTTTTTAATTTTGTAAAACTTAAAATTCTTTGAGATTCGACAGTTTACAATATAATAGTCTAAAATAGAAATGTGTCTAAATTGTTGCAGATGTGATACCGTTTACTATAAAAATGAGCGTAGACAAGATCCTTATCATTCTGATTCTTACTCCAAAGACTCCCAACAGGCGTATGAAAACGAGAAGTCTATGGTAAACGAGAAAGTAAAGAAAATTCGAAATAATTTGCTCAAAGAAGAGGAACTAAAGTCTGCCATACCTTTTGGAGACGATACTACTATAATAATCGGGGTTGATGCCACACCGCACCATATTGGAGGATATTTCATAAACCTAGCTCAAAAAAGGGGAGAATTCTATCATTTTCCCGTCAGCAAGTTACCCTGGACCCTAACGCCGAAACAAAACAAGGCGGGAAACTCGGGCGAATTTGAAATGAAAAACTTAATGTTTGCCCTCTACTTGTGGAAAAACGAGCTCCCTCAAAAAGGCTTGGCTTCCAAAGCGATCGTGTACACAGACAATTTCGCTTATCATAAAAAGCGATCAACGTATGGAATTCGAGCAAAAAGCTTTATTCAACATTTACAAATTTGCGAAGGAAAGCAGATCCAAGTCAAAGTGAAAGGCACGAACGAGGCGGGTATCGAAGATCACGCCAGTTTATGTTCGTAAAAAACTATGTTTTTTAAAACATTTTCTAGCATTTGGGGACGCTTAAATAAGCATGTAATGTATATTTATGGAAATTTAACATTTTAATTTCAGGGGACACACTTTAAAGAATCCACAAAGGCGAAAGAACAATTGGAACGGGTAATAAAAAATTGACTTACCCCCGATAACTCCATTCAAGCTGCTATCTAAAAGAACAGCATCCTATCTAAATATATACATTTGTTAGGGGATAGATCCTTTGCTAGCTTCAATGACGCTTTATACCAGAAATAATGCTAATTTATTTGTTCAAATTTTTAAACTGTGTTTGCTTAATTATAATCTGCACCTGTGAAATTCATGCTGGAATTATTACTGAAAATTAGCTAATCAAGTTGTCTTTATTTATTACAGATGAAGGGAAATCATTCCCCGTTTAAGCACATGCAGTGTGAAAGCTGTGATTTTGAAGAAAACAGTCCCTCGCTCCATTCCGTCGTAATTAATTGATACGGCTTCAGTTCCATGTGATGTGTTATAATTATGTGTTATGTATGAATATTTATAAATACATATGTATGTACGTATTTATCTAATTACTGTAATACTTATTTCTGGTGGGGTGTAGCTTCAATTAGCAAGTTTTACCATAAATATAACGGCTTACATATATACATCGTTCACAATACTGCCCGCCCGTGTCCACATTTTTTTGTAACGTCGAAGTCTTGTAGATTTATTCTAATCAAGCGATAATAAAAAAATAAATTATTACAAAATTCTCGGAAATTTACTCGCGATATTCCGTTGATTTGCTTTTCTTATCTCATAAATCGCTTCGGAAATGGTGATCAACTTTGCACACGTATCTAGATATTTATGTATACTCACCCTGCATTTCGCATTATCTGCATAATATGAGTGATTATTTTGCTCTTCTGCGTCAAATATTTATTACCCGAATCAAATAGCATTCAAAAATTCATACCTTCCTGATAATCCTGCACGATATGAAAATCATTGTGGTTCACTTTAGCTTAACTAGCTTAACTCTGAATTATAAATAATCCAGATAATTTGCATATATGTACATACATAAAAGCGACAAGGACTCGCACCCACCACTCAATAACCATCTCTTCTGCCTAGTAATTTTGCAGATCTGATTTGCCAAACCAAGCGAAATAAATATGCGATCCGCGATACTCGTCGCTCTCTGCTGCTGCGTTGCGGTCACGTCCGCCGGCGTGGTCAACGTGTCACGTTGTGACGGACTTGTAATTTTGAGATACAGCTAAATTTACGAAATTAATGGCATGCCAATTTTTTGATTTTTCTGTAATATTTCAGGGCACCCCGGTCCAAACCAGGATTTCTGATTGTGACGGATACTGCCGATTCCAACCTGGCAAAACTTATGATTGTGAACAGGACTTTATGCCGAGTAAGATTTCAAAAACTTGAATAATGTCATAATTTTGGAACTGTTAGCTAAATAATTACGTTGTGTTTTTCTTATGTAGGTTCGTCAATTCTCAGACTCAACTTGAAAGTCGAGGTTTGCTATGATGTTGGACTTTGCATGCAAATTATCAACGCTGACCTACCCGGCACCCCTGTCGGACCTGGATTCATTTACACTGCTAAATTTACTTTTGTGCCGAATGACATCCTCGCCGGTGAAACGCTTGAGATGAGGGCAATAATTTCTAGAACGGAGGGTGGAGTTTATCCTGAGATTTGTGTCTTATGTAAGGTTGATGTCTTGCCATTGTTGTAAATTATTTTTTGAACAAAATAATTAAACAGGAGTGCGTTAATAGTTAATTTCTGAAACTCAATATGTGCTGAGCTATACCAAAATTTTCGTAGCTCTGGTTTTGAATCATAAATCTAACTATGGACATGCATTATTCATCATCCATACCTGTTCACTTTCATTCATTTGGCTGATTATAGTAGGGGATGATAGAGAATGCAAATGAATTTCTTAATGACTGAAGGATTTCGTCATTTCAGATGAATAACTGTGAATGAGAGAATTTTTAACTCCTTTCATTTTCACACTATGCTTAATACATGCATGGGACGAAGTAAGAAATGAACCCGAATGAAGTGAAATGAAATGAATTTGAAAGAAAATGACTGAATCTGAATGAAAATCTCCAGTCATATATCGGGATGACTGACTTTTGAATCAGAAATAAATTTTTGACAAGGTATGCAATAGCGTTATGAGCATTTGTTTCTATTTCGCTCTCACAAGTAGTCACAAGTATGTAGGAATTAGGAAATGACCGATATCCACCAACTTCTGGGGGAACGAAGAACGAACGACCGTTAATTCATGTATCAAGCAGATTTCCATTTCTGCCCTCACCTCCCTACGCGACGAGAATGACAAAGGACTTTTAAGCATTAAAAACTGCACAATGCTAGCTTAAAGAGAAAAACACATATTTACATATGTATTTATTTAATCCAGAGTAGAATTGCGATACATTTTGCGCATTTATGAGAAACCCAAAATTTTGCATTATAGATATCTATGCACTCAAAAGAAAATCGTAACCAAATCAATTCCGGGCGGTGTCACTATGTGACTTAACCGGATTGGAATTAAACCAACTCCGCGCGGATATAATATGCTTCACCGCAGCGGAATCATTTGTTAAAGTGAAGGTAACAATATCTACACCGTTCGGCTACGACTGTTTACACAATGACGGTGCAGGTTTGTAACAGGGCAGAGTTAAAATTAACACCACGTTAGTGTAACGTTTGATTCCTTTAGGAGACAATTTAAATTTTATTTCCGGCATGGTAATGTTGGTCTTCATAGATTCTGGAATTGATTTACTTATTTATTTGAAAATTTTTGAAATTTATAAAAATATATAAAATTTTTAGTAATTTTTAAACAGTATAAATACAATCTATTTCATATGAATGTAATTAGGTACACATGTAAATATGTACATACATGCATACACGCTATTTAATTACAGTTTTATGTTATTAATAAGTCATTAAAGTAGATGAACTCTTGAACATTATTCATAACCTATGAAAGATAATGTATGAAGCACATAATTTTAGAATTTCGAGTTTTGTTAAGAGTAGTAAGCAAGGTTCAGCGTCTGCAATTGTAAGATCAGATATTATCTCTAAATTTGAACAAATCGGCCCCATTCCAAAACAAACTGCTAAATTATCTCTGTAACTAAAATTTCGGTACTATATCTTAATTGTTCTAAATTCAATTTTTTACATTCTGGACAACAAAACATTTGTCGTTTAGTAGTAGATAACTTAATTGCTCTACTGTGGAAAATATTTTTGCGGCTGTATGTAGAGTTGTTTAGCTTAGTGTGTAGAATAAAATTGCTGTCGCCTGAACTGCTAGCGGAAAGATTAGACTGCAACAAACAATGTAGAAACTGGATAATTGGTTTCGATGGTCTCCAAGATAGATAAGACAAGGCTGCAAATTGTTCAATTTCCAGGTGTCCGGAATTGATTGAATTGGTGTTCCCATCTATTGACATATACGAAATAAATCACAATTAAAAATGACCTACATATGTACATACCTAGCTCAGGTACATATACTTTTAAAGATTGGCTCAGAAAGAAAATATTTTTACCTTTGAATACAGTAGAACTCGGTAATTTGCTTGGGAGGACGTGTCGAAGCAATCTCTCTCGTTGCAAGCTGTCACTTTTTCTGACAATCTGGGCGATATTTGTATTAGTTTCAGTTCGTTAAATAACTGAATAAAATGAATTTCAGAATATGAAAAGTTTCTTTCAATACAAAAACTACCTGTTTCGTGAAGTGCTAAAATCTGCCAATGCCAAAATCTGTACAGAAGTACCTCCAAAATATGCCAAAATCTGTGCAGTGGATTGCTGTAATACTGCAACCGGCGACGAGTTGAGTTAGCTTGAAACATGAAAAAAATGTAGTTTCTCCAAAGGAAAAAAACGATTAAAATAATTTACCATATATGGAGAGCCCAGCGTGACCTCAAAATTTCGCTTTTGACCAGGAAATTGATGGATGCTTGAGAAGGATGGGACAGACTTCGCACGATCTTATTCCCTAAATTTATTTTAACTTTATTTTTCTAAAAATATTTACCTATGAATGAAAATACTTAAGTACTTAAAGCTTTAAGTCGAAAATTAGTAAACTTACTCGTTCCTATTAAATTCAGATAATTAGTTGGGGAGACAATTAATTTCTTCAAACTCGGACTAGTTTTCTCTCCATGTCGCTGCTTGCGGTGCAGAAAGCAAGCTAAAAAATTTGTGAGCTTGCCGGGCTGAGATTGTTACATTTTTGTAATAAAGCCCTCACCGAAAGGAATTGAATTTGTCTCCGCTGTGTGTGAAATGCCGTTACCGTTGACGGAGACCATTCAACTCTGCTCTAGTGTCTGTTAATTGGGTGTTAATTGGGTGTTAATTTTAACATAATACGGTTAGAATTTTATTCCGTAATGTATTAAATTTAATACTGCTACATGTCGTTTGCCTTAATGTCAACGGTGTTAATTTTCCATGTCCCCGGATACAATTTTGGAGACAATATTATTTCCGTGCTGGTCATGTTTGTTATCACGGAATGACGGTTATGATTTTTTTGTGAGTTTTAACACCGCTTTGCTAAGAGTGTGTACGTAAATGAGGATTAAATTGTGACATATTAAGTGACAATATGCATCGTAACTTAATGCGTTACTGATTACGATAGGCAAACCATTGTGTTTCATTTCAATTCAACTAAATATGTTTCATCGATAACCTTTTATCCGGATAATTTGCACACTAATGCCACCCGGATTTTCATCTACCACCCAATAACAATCAAGCTCTTCTTTCAGTCATTTCACAAATGCGACTTGCCAAAGTACATACGTTTAAAATGCAATCCACTATACTCATCGGTCTCTGCTGCATTGCTTTCGCCTCCGCCGGCGTGGTCAATGTGACACGTTGTGAAGCATTTGTAAGTTCAAGACACATACAGTCAAGTAACTAAATTAATTGACCACTAAAGTTTTGAATTTTGTGTAATATTTCAGGCCACCCCGGTCCAAACCAGGATTTCTGATTGTGACGGATACTGCCGATTCCAACCTGGCCTAACGTACCATTGCGAGCAGGATTTTTTGCCAAGTAAAATTTCTACAAGTTAAACAATGTCATAGTTATGAAGAAGTGTGGGTTGATTATGTTTTCAAGGTACCGTGATTCTCGGACTCAGCTTGAAAGTCGAATTCTGCCCTAATGAAAGATTCTGCATGCAAATTATCAACACTGACCTTGTCCACACCCCTGTCATGCCTGGGATTATTTACACTGCTAAATTTACTTTCGTGCCAAGTGACGTCCTCGCTGGTCAAACGATTGCGCTGAGAGTCTACATTTCTCGAACGCCTGGAGATCGGGTTGATGTCTGCGTATTCTTTAACGTTGATATCCTGTCAGTAGTGTAAAATATTTTTTTACAAAATAAATAGACAAAATCTCTGAAACTCATTATTGTTCTGAGCTCTACGAAATCTTTCTGGTTGGTTTTGACTCATAAATGGTTTCGATCGAATTACTTAATTGAAATTAACACATAATAACTTCTGCACCTTATTTTTGCGTACATGCGTATATGTATAAATACATCACAATTGACTATGTTAAGCCCCATTTACACTCCACTCGTCGGCAGTTTGATACCCCTTCATGAGGACATAACTTGCTTAATATCAGTACATGGACAAGTTATGTATATCGCATGCAAATATGTAAACGATGATGCAATGAAATTGCGAATGATCTTGACTCCAATTCTTATCCACAACGAAATAAAAGTCCAGTTGAGCTGAAATAATATAGCCATGCAATCCATCCATGCATGTATAAACTTGATATTGAATTTGTTGGCCATGTCCAGTTTCCCAGCTGTGATAAATCAGTGGTATGTCCCCATAACTCGATTTGATGGACAAGCTACACAAAAGTTACTGGTTACGTAATATTCACAAATATGTAATTGTTTTCAGTCTTTATCTCTAAATTAACTTTACTCCAAAGCGAATTCAACCACAGTTTATTGGCCGCTGTTGCAATGGAAAGTTTAGTCAAACCTCCGACCGAGGATGAATTGTTTATAGAACTCAAAACTAGAATAAAAGGTTTGTAGATATGTTAAAAATTGCATATAGAAATTTAAAATCTGTGTGATATTCGTTTTTAAAAATATTTTCAATATGGGCATTTTCGCGATACGATATTTTTGCGATACGTTCCAAAGGGAACGTTCATAAAATATTTAACGCGGCGGAGGGGGAGTCAGGTGGTTGTGCTACGAGTCATCTTTCAGCACATGTTAAAAAGGAGGTGTAACCAGTTACAATTGTGGATTAAAAAGTCGCCAATTTTGCTTCATGCATTTTATAAACGTTCGAAAATGTAATTTATAAAGGTTATAAATCTTACGTAACAATGGAAACCCTTGTAAAAACTAAGCGTAAATTTACGAAGAAATATTGAACTTTTCAAACCATGTATAACTGCAATACTACCTTACTCCATTATTATTACAATTTTGTGAAAATTTCTCAAATTTCCCAAAACAAAAGGATGCAAACGTTTATTTTTCAAGTTAGATATTTTCATTTCCTTTGCATAGACAATGAAACTGCTTTACGTACAAAAAAAACCCTAAACCTGTAGAATAGTTTATAGTGGCATAAATCGCTATGATCTACATATTTCGATAAGTTGATCCTTCTGAATATATGTATGTATGTAAATCAAATTTGATTTGAATACAATTAAAATTTAAAAACAAACCAAATTTGAATTCCACAGAACACGAGACTCTAAATTGCTTCAGTGATGCCATAGACGACAAACTTTTGCTTGGTTTCCTTCGTGGAAAGAAGAAAAATTTAGACAGCACGATATCTTGCGTGAGTTTCTATTTCATATTTACATACACATATGTATTTATGTACAATATGTGCATATGTATTTAAGTATTTAAAGGAGAATTATTGCAAATCCCATCGATAATTATGACTTACTACTTATCCTAATACTTTTTTGTTGGTTCCGTAGTTGGAGAAATATATAGACATGAGAACTGTGAAGTACGCCACTTTCACCAGAACGTACAGACCATCGACCATCTCAGCCTTAAATATTGGGGTGCTTAGGCTCCTAAAAAAACTGGACAATAACGGTCGCGTCGTCCTGGTTGTGACCTGCAGTGAGTAAAAATTCTAATTTTTATGTTAATATACATAGACAGACGACGACGCATTCATTATAGTTATCAGATAACTGCTTATCTGTGATTACCTTTCTTAAAATTGTACATTGAAATAACGATGGGCCAGTACAAATTGTTATACACGGTCAGAAATCTGGTATATGTAGTCACGCAGGGATTAAACTTGCAACCGCTTGGTATTAAAATTATATCGGACGGCAAGAATTTGCTTCCGATATGGTAACACTTTGATACCCAGCTATTACTGCACGGTATTATTTGTCAATCCGAGTTTGGAAGTGTTATATATGAAGACCCCTTGGTACCATTTTAATACTGGATTTCTAAGAGTGTGCTACTTACATGTGTAAATATTTACATAAATATGTAACAAAATCAAAATTTCAAATTTCGGCTCTACATATTTATCTAATATCCATCAAACCAATTTCAAATTTATTTAGTTTCTTTGAGAAAGAAAACGTTGGCAAACTTTATATTTTTCGACACTTCGAGATATGTATAATTGTGGGCGTTTCGATTCGACCAAAATTTGCACATACATATGTTGACGTCAACGTCACTCTTCCAAATATGTACATATTTGTGGTCCTTTATAAATACATGACTGTCGAATTTTCCTAGACAATTGGCAACCGTCTCAAACCCCACTGGAAGAACTGATAGCTTCCTCACTATTTATAATGGATGAAGGAATTCGGACCCACTTCTCCATCGGGAACGAACTAGTCGTCATCTTTGACTGTAAGGGGCTCGGGTTCGATCAGGCGAGACGATTGACGCCGAGCTACGTTATAATGGGGCTGGATATGTTTCTTGTAAGAAAACTGGTGTCATTTGTATGTATTTGCAATTAAGGATTGTTTTTAGTCGTTGATTTGTCTAATTTATGTAGAAATGTTTGCCTAGTCGTCCTAAAGCATTTCATGTGGTGCATGCCGGGTATCTAATGCATGGCTTGTACCGGATGGTGCATCCCTTCCTGAAGAAGAAATTACAGGACAGGGTAAATACATAATTTAAGGAGTTTTTAATTTCTGGTAAAATTTGAAACCTGTTTAAAACCAAAATTATAAGCCGCAATTTCAATAAAATACAAAACATAAGCAAAGAATTCAGATTTTATACAGAAACATTATGAAATTGCTTAAAAACACTGTTAATTTTACAGGTTCATGTGCACGCAAAGCTTACCCAACTTGCTGATCATGTTCCGGCGTCTATTCTACCGACCAAACTGGGTGGGGAAATGCTGGAGGACGACGCATACGATCCCCTAATCATGGAAAGGGTTAAAGGAAATGATGAATATTATGAAGGACTGAGCAAACTTTCAGCGCCAGATTAATATTTTCTGTCCGTATTGTTCGATGTCAAGTTAAAAGTACAAATTTATATTTTTTCTAGGAGAAATAATAAAATAAATGAATAATATTCATTTACATATTAACCTTTTAAGCATTTTGACCATGTATGTCATGGCGAACAATTTTACACGAAGTGCCGGACGAAAACACAACAATTAAAAAGATCCGTCCTTAGTTACATATATCAATTTTGTACGAAATTTATTAAGTAATTATTGTCGACTTTTAATCACATCGCAACGTTAAAATATTCGGATTACATCCAAAGACTGACTTTTTCTCGAGTCGTGATTTTTAGCCCGAACCAGGGCTTATGTAATTGTCATGTCAGTCGAACTGTCGAACGAGTTAACCAATTTTGACCAAATTTGGTGCAGACATGTATCTGGGCAATGCAACGACCGAGTTAGAAGATGGGTTCGATCAGAAAAGTTTTGAACCGGTGGGGGTCATATAAGTGGGTAGGGTATTTTGCACCAAAATTTCAAAATTGTTGTAGAGAGCTGAAATTTGATACAGAGGTTGCTAATGGCTCCTAATAGAAAAAAATAACTTCAGGTTGGAAAAATTTTAATCTTGAGGGACCCTATGGAGTGACCCATACTGATTTTTAGAAATTACTTTAAAAAGATGAAATCCGGCACAATGGTACTTAATGGCTTCTAATTAAAGAATATGAAGTTAAAAGTGAGTAAAGTGCAACCAGAGTGACCCTATGGGGTGACCCATACTGATTTTTCAAAATCATTATATCGAGCTGAAATTTGATATGGAGGCTGAAAACCACTGCTGGATAGCACATACATACAGCTTAGAGCTTCAGGATGTTAAAGAAGCCCACTGGTCATGGTGGTCAAGACACATGATCTGTAACTTGCTCAAAAATTTGGGACCAAATAATAGAAACTATCTAACAAACTTTTAACCATCCACAACACGGAAGTTGGTGATATTATGTTGGTCAATTCGGAAAAAAATTTAGAAGCGGGCTCTGACTTATTGAGTCAGGGACTATGTCCCTGACTCGGGCTATATGGAGTCTGCACTGTAGGTTTTATCTATTAGGAGCCATTAGCAACCTCTGTGCCAAATTTCAGCTTTCTACGACAATTTTGAAATTTTGGTGCATAAGACCCCACCCACTCAGATGACCCCCACCGGGTAACCAGTTAACCGATTTCGCCCATCTTCGAACTCGATTCCTAACTTTGTCCAATATGCACATGGTAAAAATTTCAAGTCGGTAGCTTGTGTTTAAAGAGAGTTATCCTGTTTACCGACGGACGGACGGACGGACATGACGGTTCCATAAGCCCTGACTCGGGCTAAAAAGCTGTGGAAATTATTATTTTCGACTTCCATGTATGTCATGGTCAAAGTATTTTCTTGCAAAAACAATCGCCATGACTTTGATAGTATTGGTCCTGCAATGCAAATTTTTGCGACCATGACTAACATGGTTTTGGTCTTTCGATGTGTAAAAAATATGACATGAACACCATGGTTTAGGAAACTTGGTGTAAAATTTTTCTCCATGACATTCATGGTCAAAGTTCATTCCCCATTTTCGACTATAAAATGTAAATGCTTAAAAGGTTAAGTACATACTAAATGGTCACCGTATCTTTTTAAAAATTCACCTAAGGATAAATATACGTGCATAGATACGTACTTATGTATTATACTTATGCATAATATGGAATAAACTTACGGTTGAGTGAAACAGTAAGTTCGAAATATGGTTTTTAATTAATTTTAAAAGTTTTCCATTTTGGGAATGCGTTTGTGTTCATCGAATTTTACAATTTTGTGTTTGTGTCGAAAATAAAATTCCATGATAACAAGGAAATGGGTTTAAATAAATTTATCAATAATTCCCAAAAAACAGCTAAACAAATTAGGAATTCCATTTATTCCAACAAATTTATAACACATTTTTGCAAAGCTATTTAAAATAAACTGATGTCAGGCTCGTGTTAATAAGTGGTTTGCAAGGTCAGCTTATTTCATAAAAGTTATTTAAACACTCCATTGTTCAAGCATATGGAATAACTTATTTACCCTGAAAAATTCAAACTTTCCAGTCATTGTTCGCCAATTTGCCAACGACATGGTTAGCTGGGGCATTTTTGTTGGCTGCATCTTCTTGATTCAAATTTTGGAAGGCTTCCATATAAAACATAATCATGCTAATGGCCGCAATTATTATAATAACGGGCCTCAAAATGGAATTCATGTGGATAGAAATATTTCTCAAGCGAGGTATCCAACTTAAGATAATTATAGTATAATTATTATACGCTCTTAAAAATCTAGTATCAAAAATAATACCAAGTGGTATTAATGAGTAGTACCGTGTAGCAGCACCATATTAAGGTTTTACCATATCGGTATACAATTTTTTTTAAATTTTAATACCAAGTTGTAGCATATTCAATACCAGTCTAACTATACCCGGTTTTTCACAGTGTAGGGGGAATGTACATAATTAAAATTTGATGATAAAATTTAGTAACATTTTTTTACTTGGTGTAGGTCAACTCGAATGAGGGGACAGTGGATTAAATCAAATCGCGTCACGAACTTTGGGGACTGGGGTCGAGTCGAGTACTGTCCGTCGGGACAGCACGCTATCGGAGTCATGGTCAAATATGAGGAAATCGGGTCTACCAATGATCACACGGGGATTAATGGGATTGCGTTGCTTTGCGCGTTTCGTAAGGATATAATTAGGGCATTGTCCGATTGTCCTCGTATTTTTAATATCGTAAAATATTTTACAAAGAAAAAGCAGGCGGTCAACCTTTATAACAACCGTAAACTTAGCAAGAAGGATTTTTAATGACAAAAGCTTACAATGCTTATAAAATTTCGTAAACGTCGTAACCTATTTTGCGATAAGAGGGACATTAAGGGCCCGGGGGAAGATTTACTTTTCGAAAATTGATTTTATATTAGCAACAATAATTGCTTGGGATCAAAGATTATTTGAAACTTTATCACTCTATAAAGTCACGCCATAGTTTCTATGGCAGGCTAATGTTCAGAAGCTTTTATTTGGTCACTGTGCCCTCCAGTTTTCGAGAAAAGTTGTTTTCTTTCGTTCCATGGATACTCAATATGCAATTCATGCCATCAGTTTTGCAATTCTAAGCCAATTTGTGCTCGCTTTATGACCAAATATCTCCACTGCACAAGAGGGCAGATCGTCAAAAAAAACTTTAGTAAAATCCAAAGATATGATTAACGCATTAAACATAATTTGAAAAATCTGCCCTCTTGTGCATTGCTGAATTTTATCGTCAAAGTTGACGTGATTTCTAAGCAACTTCCCCCGGGCCCTTAACAAGGGTACGAAGTAATCATGAATACCCTTCCAAAAAACGTGTAAGTTCGTGATAAAAGTATGACCAAAGATCTACCAAACATTCATCTGCCGAAAAGATGAAAAAATGGATTGAGCACTTATTGATTCAAAATAAATTTCTTCCCAAATAAGTATGTTTTATCTCCAACCTCATGAAACTTATGCCATTTTAGTAATTTGAGTTTATTGAAATTGAATAGGGGTAGAATGAGACTTTAAATATATGACGTACTAACACGTCATCCTGTGTTCAACCTTAATTTTCTGCCAGTTTAAATATACTGGAAAATTTCCAGCGTAAATACAAAAGGCGTTAGGACATGGTTTTGACGAATTCGCGGGTGAATATCTCTGGCGGGGAGTTGAATTTTGAACTGATTTTTGGTCAGTTGCAAGATAATCCTCTCAAAAAGATATATTTACAATTTTAGGCCGATAGCTTTATAAATGCCCCCTCCAGTGCCCCCAGAGTTGGAAGGAGCCAAAAAAACACTTTCCAAACTGAATTACTCATATAGCATGATAACCTAAGAGGTCAGAGGTGAATGATTGTTAATATTACAACCCTAGATAATCATTGCATGTAATAATAAAAGAATCTACATGAATTACATGACGTTGGGCCTCCATCGTAGCTGATACTTTTTCATGAAAATTGATAAATCGGACTGTGCACAGGAAAATTGACCTGCTGACCTTGAAAGCGGACCCACTCGGTCAAATGAAGATTGAGGGCAAAGCTCAAAGTGTCCTAAATAATATTAAATTAAACAGTGAAGATTTTGTGTAAACAGTTTTGGAGAACGACCCTAGCTAATCAGCTGTCGCGGAATCCTAAAAAACTCGTGAACTTATTTGGAAAATTAATGGTCAAATTTTTTCGAAAATAAATTTTACTAATCTTTTTGTGTCCCCTACTGCAGAACTATTTTATCTACAAGGTACAAGTGACAAAATAATAAAATTATTGCGTTTTGGTTAGTTAAATTATTTCTGAAGTTCGACATCGAAAACGACGGGAACTTTTCCAAAAATTTTATAAGGTCTGATAAAAACTCAGTCCGTGGGGTATAACCAGTTATCAAAATTTTGTCAAAAGTACTTACAGTGCAATATACTATATGTACCTTGGATAAAAACCACGTTAGAGATTTTTAGCATCAAAGTCGTAAAATGTGGGGGCCTTAAAAGTGGAAGAGTTGCGTTAAAGAGCGCATTCCATTTGGACAAGTATGAAATTAGACTGCAAAACGGACTTAAAAGATAAGCATAAGGCAAACGTGGTTTTATATAGTGAAAAGCATGCTAAGTCCCTTGATAGTAGTCGCAAAGACGATTTTTGCATCAGGACCTCAGAAAAAAATATTTTGTTGAACGCCATTTTATAAGAACGCTGGTTTGGAAAACTAAAAAAGGACACCTCTCCAAATTTGACCTTGCCTCTTTTCGCAGAGTACACAAAATCGGAAGCCAGATATGCTTACCTATAGTTTGAGACATGGGCTTTCACATAAAAAAAGTTAGAAATCTCTACAACTAAAAACCATCCCGTAATTAAGGTTTGAATTCGTCAAAACCATGTCCTAACGCCTTTTGTATACATATAGCTAATATTCGAACAAGATGTAAAACTAAATTTTACATATGTTCATATTTAAAAAAAATTCGTAGTCGATAACGCTTCTCTGTTATCAACTAATTTCCTCATCTTGTCCAGATTTACTACATAATTCGTTACTATTTTTTTACTTTCCGAGGTGACGGGCGTCCCTCACCTTGGACGCCGACCAGCTCGGTAGCCCCGTGGGGGGAGTGGAAGGACTGCAACTGCCCGGAAGGAAGAGACTACTACTTGGAGGGATTCCAACTTTGCACCTTGCCCCCACAGGGGAGTGGCGACGACATTTCCGCCTTCGCCTTTTACATGGTCTGTCATACCTTTGGGGTGCACTACTGCCTCCACAAGGCTAATCTTGGGGACCAGTATTGCAGTGATTTGATCATGTGTCCCCAAGAATACCCGAGGATTTGTGGCATTCGGACGCAAGTTGAGGATCCGCCGTGGTATGGTAAGTGCGAGAAAGGGTGGAACTCATATAAAATAGGTTTGTAATCTCGTATCTGTATTATTTGCTTTTAGTTCATACGGATGATACAGCGCTGAATAATGTGGATTTCTTTTGCTGTTAAAGATATTCAAATAAATATAAAAAATTGTAAAGTTTTCGTGCATTTTTTACTTTTTCTGGTTTACTTTCATATCATTGCTTACCAAGGGGAACAGAAATGTAAAAATATCAAATTCTAGAAAATAAAAAATTAAAAAACTGCAAATATGCACGTAAACAACCACCCAAAGCAAAATAAATAAAAATGACCTTTTATGTGTCTGAGAAGTGATAAACAAATATGCAGTAAAAATGCAAAGGTTATTTTATAGCCTTGCATCACATTTAGATTTTATGTACATACAAAGTTGTTTAGTTGATATGCACATAAATCGCACAGCGAATTGCATGACCACACGCTGGAATATGTACAAAAAATACGTTTGCATGCATGCATCATATTTCTTTATTATCTTTTCATGTGTTGTGCTACACTGATCCCAACAAAATTGCTGCTATGTATTAAAAAAAATGCTATACATTTTATTCTTAAATGCCCAATCCAGTTTTTGTTAATGACACGTGTAGATTTTTGTGTGTGCAAGTTTTATCGTCACCATGCGGGTGGAATTTTACAGCAAAACAGCTCTATTACATATACATACTCTATGTCCATGCCGTCCTCTGCTACGCAGTTAAAGGCAACACGTGCAAAGAATATTCCGTGCAGGTAGAGTTTAATGCTATTTATCCCCTCCGGGACAATGTATTTGCGAGTATGTCCATGCAAGTTTTCACAATCTATGAAATTTAGCGATTAAATGCTACGCTTATATGCAAAGAATACGTGCATGTGCTTGATTGATTGAGGGTTGGTCCCCCCTAAAAGTGTTAATAGTCGCGTCTTTTTGAACTTGAGGTCAATAGCGAAATTTGTTTCATGTGAGAAAGATGTTTCTCTATTACGCTCTTGTCATCATTGCTTTCCTGATACTTTACTATTTACTATTAAAAGATGCTCGTTATGGCAAGGAACCTCCAGGTATGCAAATAATTTTATACAATTAAGTTTTTCACCTTGTTCTTTTTAAATTTTCTAATTGTGTAAAATTTCTAACTTTTTGGTTGTATTAAGTCGCAAATATTTGTGATTTTTATGCAGGTCCAAAACCATTGCCAATCATTGGAAATTTGCTCGATCTGGTTAACTCATCTGGTAACATGACCTTAGCGTTGGGAAATTTGGCTGAAAAATACGGGGAAATATATTCCTTAAAGCTCGGATCTAAAAAGTCAGGTGGGTTCTGAATTTGTTTCGTGGAAAATTAATACAGATTGTAAATCTTCCTTACACGTAATTTAGCGCATGGGTTTTTTAATCGTGGGAGGGATACACATTTACATAATACATGGAAATCAATGACGCTATACCAAATTCGAAATTTACATATTTCAGTCGTACTCACTTCAAAGGAAGCCATGCAAATCATCCTCTCTAATGAGGCCACGTTTGCTCGAGATTTCTCAGGAATGTGGGTCGATCGAAGTTTCCATAAGAATTTAGGAATTGCTTTTTCTGAAGGAGAAGTCTGGGAAACGTTGAGACCTTGGACGTTTAAGACGTTGAAAGATTTCGGTTTTGGCAAATCTTCGGAGATGGAACGTTTTATCAAAGTAAAAGAAAAAAATAGTTCTGTAAAATTTCAAATTAATGAAATCTAACTACCAAATTTCTAGGTCGCATCGGAACGTTTATTCGCCTCAATCGACTATAAGATTGGACCCGAAAAGACGAGCTGTAACCTCGATGTCGAACTGCTCTACAACAGTGCCATTCTTTCCATCATGTGGCAAATGATAGTTGGTCGTCTGTCCCCAGAGGACGAACCGTCCATCAAAATTATCTCCGAGAAAGGAGACGCTTTCAATCGAACCAGCATTTTTGGGGCTGGAATCGTAAATGCGTTTCCATTCTTGAGATATATCTTCCCAGACGCGTTAGGATACAATGTGCAAATGGATTTTTTCAAGGAGTGCAACACAATTGCGAAAGTAAGGATAGCGAAATTAATTTTAAAATAGGTTCTCCGTGCAAACTATCCACTTTTATGATTAGCACATTTTTGGCGAAATCGCAAAGCAGTAGGTTAACGTTGAGGGGTTTTGCAGTCTGGTATTGTCTCAGAAGTATTTAATTCTTTGTGGTAACGTTGCTACTGTTTGGTGTTTAAATTATACTGGACCGTTGAAATTTGTTATCCACATGATTTTAGTTTAATTCCGAGCAATTACTACATCGTACAAACTGAGCGTTAATACCACTTTCGTCCAGTCAAATATGAATAGCACTTGGTACTATTTTAATACTGGATTCCTAAGAGTGTGATAATGTCGAAAATGTGAATTATGAAAATTATGAAAATAGTGACCGGCCATAATGGATCGAGAGTAACAATTTTGTCATCCAATTTGCAGAATTTGTTCACTGAAATGGAAGCAAAGATGAGAAAATTCCAGCTCACAATGCCCACAAATTTATTGGAAGCTTTCGTCCTAAATAGTATCAAGGATCCTAAAATTTTTAATTGTACTAAAATTTAAGCTATGTATACAAATTAAATATTTATTTGCAGTGAATTAGCAATAGTTAAACAATCTTTCATTTATTTAGGTGATAACTTCCTGCTCACTTTTCAAGACATGCTGCTCACCAGTAGCGACACATCCAACACGTTTATGGAGATTGTGATTTTGTACCTCATAACTTATCCGGACGTACAGGAGAAAGTTTATGAAGAAATTTTAAAAGTTTCACCAGATGGGAGAGACCTTAGTTATTCTGATAGAATAAAGTGTGGCTTGATTTAATTAGACCTTTTACAGAAATGTAAATACAGAATGAAACAATTTTATACATACATTATTGTCCATATTTGTTAGAATGCCGTACATTCAAGCCTTCTTCTTGGAAGCGCATCGAAAAGGACAACCCCTCCAGAACTTGGTTCCACGTCGTGCCTTGTCGAATATTGCGTATAAGGACTACATTATTAAGAAGGTAGCAAAATAAGTATAAAAACAGGGTATAAGTTGGGGGGAAAATCTCCTACATACGTCACATACGGGAACATAAAAATTTTGAGATTGGAGGAGGAGGGGCTTATTAATGAATTTCGCCCTGACCCCAATGCAAAAGGGAATATTAACTCGCCCTATCTTAACTACTCCAACATACCAACTGGACAATTAGGAGTAATATTTAGTTTGGATGTTTGCTAGGACACCATCATTATGAGTGACACGCGGCTCTACTATGAAAACAAGGAGGATTGGATTGATCCAGAAGCATTTCGACCTGAACGTTTCCTTGACGAGGCTGGACAGGTGGTCAATGCGGGGAAGATTATTTCCTTCTCATTCGGTATACGTAACATATTTTCGTAATTTTTAACTTATCCCGAGGTCATAATTTATCTGTGCAGATTATTTATTCCTTATCAACTTATTTTCCAGGGAAGAGGAACTGTCCGGGAGAACTCCAAGCGAACATTGTTGCCTTTCTGGGGATCACCTCACTCTTGCAACGGTACAAGTTGAGCGTTCCGAAAGGTCAGCAAATGCCCAGGTTGGACATGAGGCCGGGATTGACGTTAAAACCGTACCCCTTCCAAGCCACGTTTGCTAAACGACAGTGATCTTTAAACTACGGTCTTGCAAGTGACCTTTTTGTATTTTTCCGTAATTATAAGCCTTTTGTGGAAACGAATTATGTATAAGTGGGTGCTTTTTGAATGCTCCAGTTTTTTGTAATTTTAGTTTTAGGCGATCGACTTGCGTAAAACGTTTAAGTAATTACTAAAATAAATATGATAGCTTTGAAAAGACGCGAAACTTCAGCACTACATACATACATAGATACTATCTCTATGTCTAATAGATGAATTGCATGACATTTGCGACGTGCTTAAATTGATTGGAAATGGGTCCTATTTAACTGATCATAATTTAATACTGCTTCCGACCATAATTAATACTTTTTTTCCCGAATCTGCGTTCTTCAGTGAAACAAAAAATGGATTATCAACTAACTATTTCGCTTTAGTTTATGATCAAAAAAAGTTTAAAATATAATTAGAAGTAATACTTTTCAATTATTTAAAATAAATAAAACAAGTGTGCACATTAACCCCACCAAATGGGGTAAGTGGGGCCAGTGGAGGGGTTAGTGTGGACACGCATATGTTTTAATGCAAATATATTTGCATATTAAAATGCTTTTCGAATTCATGCCAGATCGAGGATTATACAAATATTGCGTAAACTATATTTTTTAAAGATGGAATTTGAATATTCCAATATAAATTTGGACAATTTACGGACAAGATATCTGCGAAGAATAATTACCCCTGCAAATTGTCCAAATTATGCGGGATTAGAATCCAATTACATACAAGGATTAGAATCCAATTACTAAAATCATTCACACCTATCCACTGTGGGAAGCAAACGATTAGAAAAAGTTGATACATAAAACGTTACTTAAAACGTTTAAGGAATGATTGCCGCTACATATGTTTTCGAAAAAACATTTAAAATCTTCCAACGCTGGTCTCAATTACTCAATTATCGATCAAATTAAAGGTTTCGCAGCCTCCACCAGACGCTAAATGTATACTCACTGAAGAGAAATGCAAGCGTGGTAGACCAGAAAAACCTTCCAAGAAATTTGTAATTGACTAAAAATCGAAAAGTTTGTAAAGTTTTTTAAAGTTTCATATTTTAAAGTGTATTTTTACTTATGGTAAAATTGAGTAATTATTATACACAAGGAAGCACTTTATTATGGTGAGAGATAGTATTCGGGGAAAAAGTATTAATTATGGTCAAAAGTAGTATTAAATTATGATCAGTTAAATATTATCCATTGGAAATTTAGTCTTCATTCTTATTTTAAATCCCCATTTTAGATATTTCACTGCACTACTTCAATTAACCCTCTTTTAATAATGTACTATTTTAAATAACTTGTATGTATATAAGTGTATTACATATGTATAATCCGAGTTTGCATGAATAAACTCGGTTCCAGTGAGCATTTGGCCACCTTCACACCTGATGTACTAGCTTCATGACATGATTACATATATGTAAGTTTGCTGTTTTTAGGCGAGTTTTTTCGTCATATTAGGAAGAAAGATGCAGGCTTGCTGTTAAGAGCAAGGGGCATCATTTCGAGCTAAGTAATTCCCGATAGCAAAAATTCGCCTACAGGTACAAAAACTTGTCAAAAATTGTTGCACGATAATGGGGCAATATGTATGTATATAAGTATCTCAATGTATGTTTATTTCGAGGTTGGCAAATTTCAATAAAGATTGATATGAACATGATTAATCTAATTACTAGTGACTACATAATCTATCACCTTGATCAGACCAGGTTGATCTACTGCGTAAATCGTAACCTGTAACCATTAAATATGGACAATTGTCAACTGTAATCTTTGTCCCCAGTGCGTGTTCATGGCTAATGATTATGTCATACTTGCGTCAGGTCAGGATCATTCATTGTAATGCAAGATAGGGCAGATCAGTCACACATTTGTACTTACGTAATCGGCAAAAAAGATGACCTGACATTTAATAAAATATTTGTAATGTTTTATGCAAGGTTCAGATTTAAACGATCGTATACGCTAAATAAGATGTGTAAAGTTTACTAAAGATTGAGTAAAATAGAAGATGACGTAACAATTTAACAATGTGTAAAATGGATTAAACGTTACGTAAAACTTTAAAAAACGTTGGATAAATTGTACCAAATTGTTGTGTCATCTTCTGTTTTAAATATTCAATCTTCAGTAAATTTTCTACGCTATATTTTTAGTGCGTACTTAATTATTTCCTGAAACATTCCGAACAATGCCTACAAAATTACAAATATTTTAAATATCAGGTCAGATTTCATGCCGATTTTGTAAATATAAATATTTACCTAACTGAACTAAGCTACCTTGCATTATATTGAGGGTATTCGTTATTTCTTCGTATCCGTAGTATCGTAAAATAGTTTACGAAGATAAAACAAGGGGTCAGCTTTCGTAAAAATCGTAAGCGTAGTAACGCGATTTTCGATGAGAAAATCTTACGACGCTTACAAAATCTCGTAAGCGTCGTAAGTTATTTTACGATACGAAGAATACTAAGGATACGAAGAAATAATGAATACCCTCATTGATTCTGACCTGAAGCAAGTATGTTGCCATGGTGATGGGAGATTTCCTCCCGCTCATCTCCTCCCCCTACTTTGCTCCCGCCCAACCCCTCCCGCTCGTCTCCTCCCGTATACATTTTCCTCCCCGTACCATCTCCTCCCTGTTGTGTCTCCTCCTTCCGTATTCAACTTTGTCTGACTACCTAATGTATTCAATATCTAGGGGATCTAGGGCCGTTCAAAGTGTGTGACATGGTTCTGACGATTTTTTAAAAATAATTTGAGGCATTCATTACAAGTTTCCACATCATCATATTTTGAAGACAAAAAATAATTCACAAACTTACTTAGGTGAGGCACTTATTTCTACATCGTGCAATAATTTCAGGTTTGCATCGTTAAATGAAAAATATATTCATGATAACTTTAGAGTGGACATAGTTTGAAAATGTCATAGGAAAAACTTTTTTAATTGTCTGATTTTGAACGTTTTAGTATCAAAATATGCAGAATCAGAAAACATAATAAAATAAACTTTTATGCATATGATTCCATGGTGGGAGACGCTAATATTTCGGTTTTAAACTTTCAAATCAAAGTTTAAGACAGAAATAAATATTTTTCAAACATTTCATTGAAAACCTACTGCCCCTCTAACAGTCCGCTAATTTTTCTTTTACACTTTTTGTCTACCGTTTAGGCGGTAGACGTGTCCACATGTGCATACTTACACCGAACTATACAAGGTTCGGTAATTCACAATGACTTTTCAAGCCAAAACTATATGCCTGTGAGGAGATTTCTCAACTTAAACGTTAAACATTCATAACTTTATTGAGTGATAACGTGTCAAATAATTGTGCATTTTGTTTTCTTTCCTAACTTTGTGAACGATGCGAACTCGTAATGCCACATTTGTAAATAGATGATCCAATTATATTCATAATTATTTGAAGATTTGTAGAAATCCCCAAAACCATGCCACCTAATCTGAACGGACCCAAATCTCGGATCTTGCAATATTGGGTAGTCAGAAAAATAGAATACGGAGGAAAGGCGACACAACGGGGAGGAAAATGTATACGGGAGGAGATCAGCGGGGAGGAGATGGTACGGGGAGGAAAATGTATACGGGAGGAGACGAGCGGGAGGGGTTGGGCGGGAGCAAAGGAGGGGGAGGAGATGAGCGGGAGGAATTATCCTCCAATCTGTTGCCATGGGTAAGCCCCAAAGACAAAAATTATTACGGTTGTGCGTATTACATACTGCGTACTGGTGACAATTTACAAGGTTGATTGGTCATTGGGAATGTAGATTAGTCATCTAATTGTTCATACCTTAGTATTCGGGTACAAAGATAAGAACAATTATGGAGTCACTTAAAAGTGTATATAATTGGGCTCACTTTCTTGACTAACGGAAGAGTCATAGTTGAGCAGTTGTTGAAATTTATTTAAATTTGTATAGTCCCGATTTACTGTATCCATCCTCTCAACTTGCTAAATTTTGTGATCTATAAAGTTTCTCTCCAATCTATAAATTCATAGCTTAGTTCGAACTAAAGATCAAGGGCTAATATTCGGAATAGTAGAAACAAAATGAAGTACAAGCCGGATTGTAAAAACTTACTTATAACAATTGTATTAATTTATGGGTTTTTTCGCCTTTTCGTAAATTATTGTAATCCAACGAATCAACATTTTGATGTTCAAGAAATTGTGCAAGCATCGACCTCACTACCCAATCTGAAGTAAGATTGAAGCAAATTATTAACTAATTTGTAATTACATACAAATTTAAATTGCATGAAAAAATTGTATTTGATCTGAAAAAAATTTTGTTTTACGACTATAGCTAAGCATTCGCCTCATGTTTTTCGCGTGAAAACACACTTTTCGGGCGAAAAGTGAAAAAATTTCGCCCCCATTTCGGCTCACGGTATTCACCTCGGAAAATATTTCGGGTGAAAACTTCGGGCGGTTTTTCGCTCGACCGAAATTTATTTGATTTTTTCGGCTAAAGTGAGCCGAAAAAGTTTTCGCCTGAAAAACTTTTTCGGACGAAATTTGGAGCGCAAATTCCAAATTTTGTTATTATTCCTCTCTTGGATATTCAGACTACGCATTTTGCAATTTCTATTTCTTCTACTAGATTCGTAAAATTTTAGACTTTAGTGAAGTCGGAATATAAAATCATTAAGAATGGCCGGGAAAACAGCTACGCGTAAGACAACTGCTTGTCGACCGGAGTCGACAAGACTTACGTTGGAAGTAAAACGGGCATTGGCAGCTTTGGTAGAAAAGTTTCCAGAAGTTTGGGATTTGACCCACGTCAATTACAAAAATCGAGACGCCCGAGAAGCATCCTGGACGAAGATTGCGGCAGAAATGAACCTATCAGGTAGAATTTTGATGGCTATTTATGTGCTCAAAATTAATTAATTAAATTCAACTGGTTTAAATAACTTTAACAGCTGAACGTTGCAAAGCCGCCTGGGCTTCCCTTCAGGACGCTCTGCGATATCAACGAACAGGAAAAAAGGGCCCATCTGGCAAGGGCACTGAGGAGGACCCCTCTCAAACGGAATTTAATTTTGATGAAATCAAATTACTAGAAGGGTGGAACTTGTGGGAATCCATGAAATTTTATGTGCTGTCCAAACCAAGCCGGACGTAAGCAGCGTTAGACAAATCTATGATAAGTGAAGTCGGAAACTCAATACATATAATAATATTCATATAATTAGCACGCTGTCCAACATGACATTTTCCTCAACTGCTGCCAGAAATAACGACGACAAAGCTCCAGAAGCATGCTCAGGATCAGACGAAGTCTGAGGATGACGCACCCTGCGGAAAATCGTCTCCGGTTGCAGGAGAAATACGTCCAATCTATTCGCACGTAATTATTTATATATTATTACCCCATTTTAAAATTTAAATTTCTCTTGCAAGCATTTTAAAACTTTCCGTCAGGTCGCAAAGCAAAAAAGGAGACCAAGCACACTCGAGAACAGCACTAGCGCATTGGTCAAGGGAGTGACAGATTTAATTTCAATGAAGAAAATGAAAACTGATGGGTGGACAGAATTGATGTATCACTCCATGTATGCAAATATGGACCGCATGTTGAAGAAACTTCCCGAAGAAGTTGTGGAGGATTTGAATATAACTTTCACTCAAGCCATTCATTCAGAATTAAAGAAACGTCAAGAATAATGATTCACTCTTGTATTCAAGTAAATATGTAAACCTTACTCCATTTTTAAAGTTTTAAAGATATTTCTATTGTTTACATTGCAAATAGACAGTTTAAAAATAAACACACTTTTAACTAGTCTAAAAATACAGACGACCGTTGCCAGTCTAGAGAACCTTGAATTGAATTAACGAAAGCTGATAAATGGTTTCTAATTTCATTTCCAACACTAACGTTTGGGTTTTGAATTTGTTGAGTTATGCTTGTGTTAAACATCGAGTTATCGGGGACCCTTATCCTCCAAGATCCTTCTACAACGATCCCGTCAATGTCCACATAATCCGCAAATCCAGGGGGAGAGTAAATATCAGTACATTTTTTAATGAGAAAATTATGTAGCGTGCAGCAGGCTGCGACGATGACTTGAGCCCTTTCCGGTTTCATGAATAAAGTTCGAGCAAGGCAGGCCCATCGTGCGCACAATATTCCAAACGAGTTTTCAATACAACGACGAGCTCTACTTAACCTGTACAAAGAAATTGAAATGTCTTCATTTTCAGAAATTAAATTAATTTCATTATTGCAAAGCCACCTATAGTTAAAAATCCTTTGCTCATCTGTCAAGCGAACCCCCTTTCTAGAAGGGCAAAAGGGCTTCATTATCCTCCGTACCAAGGGAAAAGCGTCATCCGCCACAAAAAAGTACGGCATATTCTTCCCAAATACAGTAGTGTCATCCGGCAGGTCCAACAGCTCCCCATAAAGCGCACGCCCCAATTCACAGGAACGGAAAACTTGGCTGTCAGATTCCGATCCATACCCTCCAACATCAATAAACAAAAAACGGTAGTCGGCAGCCGCGAGCCCCATCAACACGATATTATGATAACCCTGGGAAATCCAGAAAATATATTTAATAAGGTGTAAAAAATTTGTAGCGTTATGAATTAGTAAATCTATTTTATAATTATAAAACACGCTGCCCGCATTAATTGGACATTTGATTGCCACGTGCTTTCCATCAATCGCACCAATTGTATTCGGAAAGTTCCATAATCCATTATATTCATTTTCAATTTCTATCCATTCATCCTTGGTCGGCGGCTGTACATATATAAATGATGTATTTTTAATCCTATTGGTTTTTACTTCTCAACACTTAGTTTACAGCAGAAATACCTTCATAAATGACCCCTTCAACTCTTCAAATATAGCACGGCAAGTTTGTTCGATAATCGGGCCAAGACGTTGTTTGCTGATTCTATAAGTTGATGCCACGTGACGCTGTAGAGACCCAGATGCCAAAAATCTGAACACAAAGAAATGGATGTTTAGAAAAATTTATGATGAAGTTAAGTTCAACGCGTTTTCAGAAAGCATACTCTAGTGTTGCTGATATCATATGCATCATTTGGACGGGTTGAAATCTTAGGTTCCAGCCTATGTTGAATTACATTAAGTAATTGATCGAAATGGTGTGGCGACATGTGGTAGTTCTCTTGAAAAACGTGTGGAGTAGATCTCATGTCCTCAAACTATACAAACAATTTAGTTTTAACTTTGTTGCATACCAATTTCAAATCAAAAATGACTGTAAATTGCTTACGTCTTTGAAAAACCGTCCTTTTGTGCTCCGAAGCTGAAGGTACGGGTTCACATGATAATTTTTACGTTGTTTGCGCTTTTTTCGTTGCGTCTGCAGTGCAAGGGTTGCACAAGTTATCACACTAATTAATTCAGTGTCCGAGTCAGACTCCATTTGTAAATTAAATGTTTAATTGGTGGATTCACAATTCAAATATCTAAGTGGATTTGCAGCTGAGATCGTGTTTACATAAAATACTTCGAGAGGTGAATACCGCCGGTTTTTCAGGCTGAAGTTATTCAGAAAAATATTTTGTTTTTCGCTCCAATCTCGATTTCCCCATCAAAATATTTCGGGTTAAATATTTCGCCCGAAATTTTTTCGCCCGAAAAACAAGAGGTGAATACTTAGCTTATAGCGGAAATGAAGAACTTGTTGGAAATAAGGTTGGACTGTTGAGCGATTATATTGTATCCAGCGGAGAACTTCGACTTGCCCAAGACGATGTCAAGCTACTGACATACATTCGTCGTAAATTCCTCCAACCCTCGGCAACAATAGGGCCTGTAGTCCTGAGTAAAAAGGACGTCCATTTTGGGCGAACAAATGAACAGCAGGAAATGTACCGGCGTATCTTCAAAATTTTAGGAAATAAGGTAAGTACTTACGTATTAGTTTCTTGAATAATTCTTGTTGGTGTGTGTCACATCTCATGAGAGTCTGGGGGGTAGGAAGAGTTTCCTGCTGCTGCACTCTAAAAAATGTGGTAGTATCACGTATAAATAAATACGATCCTGGTATTGATTTCGGAATTACTTGCTACCGGATTGGTTGTGAGTGGTGAATATTTCATTACCCCAACTTTGCCAAACGGTATTGCCAGTTATTACTGTATAGAGTCCTCCGGTCGTATTTATTCAATGCTAGGTTTCCAAGAGTTAATGCTACAACAATTCATTAATTTATTATTCTTTATATATTCTTTGCTAAATTAAAGATAAAGTGATAAATACATATTTATGATAAACAAGGTCCCAAAAAGTGGGAAACCTTACAATGCGATGGTGTGAAGTGTAACCCTCCGATTTGGCTGAAATTTTAAAATTAGGTGGTCCAAGCCAATACAACTAACGTTTCTTCAGGCAGTTTGTGCGATGGTGAGAGTTACTCAAAATATTTGAGGTCAAAGTTCAAAAAACGGCCGACTTTTTTCAGGCGGAGTGAGAAAACTTCACTTCCATTCTCTTCCCCTCGCTTTGATTTTATTCAGGCGTCTCGCTCATGCATACGCCTTCATGCTCAAGCACAAGCTTTGATACAAAATAATAAAAAATAAACATTATTAATTATAGCTTAAAGAGCAATTAATACGCATTATACATACTTAATTTAATTTATAATTAAATAAGTGAGATTTTTACTTATTTCTAGTACAAATTTACATAAAAGTTAATTTATAAATTCGCCAACGGCAAATAAACATGGAAAAACTTAACTTGCTTTCCATTTTGAAAGCGTTGGTTATTCTAATATCCAATTATATATTAATATTTTAAATGCTCCTGTGATTCGATATTGTTGCTACTCAAGCGGATCATGGGGTGATGACGAAAAGCCCGAGTTTAAAAATGTAAGCGAAGTTTGTTTTAGAGAAAAAAATATTAGTTGCGACCTGAATTGTGGCAATCCCACATTCATCAAATTCAGCTGGTGCAGTTTATCGTATTGTTTTGTGGACTTTTATGAAAATAATCATATAGTCACATGTGGAATGAATAATTAATATTTTTCTATAAAAAATTAAATTTAAAATTGTTGAAATGAATTATTTTTCGGAGTGAAAATCAAAGCGAGGGGAAGAGAATGGAAGTGGAGTTTTCTCACTCCGCCTGAAAAAAGTCGGCCGTTTTTTGAACTTTGACCTCAAATATTTTGAGTAACTCTCACCATCGCACAAACTGCCTGAAGAAACGTTAGTTGTATTGGCTTGGACCACCTAATTTTAAAATTTCAGCCAAATCGGAGGGTTACACTTCACACCATTGCATTGTTAGTGAGGAAGTGCAATTACAGTTAATAAATAAATTTAGATTGCAGAATGTTTGCATCACTGCTCTCGGTATCATTCCTTACCGGAAGCATTAATTAGTAATTTAGAATAATTTTTCCCCTTTTAAAGATCTGGTGATTTCACCGATTAGGAATTAATTGAATATCCAAAATCATAGATTTGCACAGTTCACAATTGTTCAGCCACTATATTTGGTATCGGTTAATTTAGCCAACTTCTCGTTCACAAAAAAATATTTTTTTGAAATCTCAAGTAGTTCAATAACTCTAAGAATTTATGTATGCAAAACAAAATTTATAGTGGGTCTAGTAAGGAATGATACCGAGAGCGGTGATGCAAAAATTCTGCAATCTAAATTTATTTATTAACTGTAATTGCACTTCCTCACTAAGATTTCCCACTTTTTGGGACCTTGTGTATTTAAAACTTATAATTGGGTTGCCAATAACATTATTACGCTGCACCATCGTCATTAAATATTTGTAACTAGGATAATTTTACTAAATTCTTGGTTTTCAAATTTGAATAACTTCTCGATTTCTGAACCGATTTCGGTCAACTTGGTCTTACAATGTTCAAAAGGAATTAGTGTAACTTTTTGCAATAATTTAGTACTATATGATGATCCAAAATGGTACAATGGATGGAAAGGTGACTCCGAGTTCGAATTTTTGCTCTTTTTCGCCCATAACTCGGGCAAAAATCAAGAATTCGCCAAGTCAACTAGTACATCGTTTCTAAATCCCGTAACAATGATCTGGGCAAAATTTCATCAAAATCGGTTGAGAAATGACTGAGAAATCGACTTATGTCACTTTTTTTGAGTGGGGTAAATGCATTCTTAGTAAATTTTTTTCGTTGTTAGGTATTTGCCTCACTAAGATAAACATGTAAGTTTAAAGTACATTTTTCATACATATGCATTGCAGACAGACGGCTTCTTTGTGGAATGTGGGGCTCATGATGGTGAATTTTATTCTAATACTTTACTTTTGGAAATACGACATGGGTGGAGTGGACTTCTCGTTGAGGCGGACCCGCAACCTTTGGCGTCACTTCAAAAAAGGAATAGACGTTCCTGGATATCGGGGGTGTGCCTGTCACCGCACACGTTTCCAATCAAGGTCACTATTTTTATTAAATGCCTTCAGGCTACCTCATTTGAGCACTTGGTCTATCTGTCTGTCCGCCAATGGGGAAGCAAACCGTGTTTAACTCGGATTATTTTTTGACCAGTTCCATTTGAAAAATCAACGCTCTAGCGCAAAATTAATTTTGTCATTGGCGCTGCAAGTTCGCCAAAACTCTCTATTTTCGAACGAAATCTATGCTTTGTAGCTGCAGCACAGACTTTTCTCGTGTTGATTCCTCCAAACTGAGGTGGTCACAAAATAATCTGGGTTGAACATGGATTGCGTCCCATTGATAGTTCTTGCATTCCTGAAAATTCATCAGTAAAACAATGGCAAGCAGTACATGTTCATATATGATTTTAACAAAGCTGTAGTCACGGTCTCTACAGAGAGTTATAATTTTGTATAGACACAGTTGACAAAATTAATTTTGCGTCCGAATTAGTCGTCGGTGAATTTTTATGATATTTTCCACGTGTTCCTCATCCTTTTTTGATAAGAAACAAAGTCGTCGTTTCCAAAAATTAAACATTTTAAGGCTGATTTCATACGTCAGTTTCCTACACTCGCCATTCAAAAGTTTGCGAAATCAATAAAAAAAATTTGGCACACTTTTCTTTAAAGTGTCGCCCTGATGTTCCCATTTTGATAAAACACAAAAGGTGCATAAGTTGACGTAACCAATGTGTCTATGTGCAAAATAATTATAATTCCGAGTACTTCAACCACATTGATGAACACTGAGGAGGACAACCCTTCACCGACAGAATGACCGATCTTGATGCCCTTGGGATATGTTGTAGTCCTAGGTGAGTCTAGCAAAAGTGAAGAAGGATTTCATTCCATGGCCCCATTTGCGACCGCCACACCCACTCAAAAGTGCAAAAATACCCTGTTTTGGTTCATTAAAAAAATCACCAAAAATCCAATTTTGGTCGAATTTTCACAATTTAAGCATTTTTGTGACCTTCGATAGTTGCTTCATCATATCCAATAACAAACTTAACTTGTTTGAAATTTTGATTTTTTCGAAATCCACGAAATTTTCGAAAATATTCAAAAAATTCAAAAAATTGAAATTCATGTCGGATACGATAAAACAACTATCTGGGATCAAAAAGATGCAAAAATTATCAAATTATCATTAAAAATGGATTTTTGGTGAATTTTCTAATGCGACCAGTTTGGCATGGGATTCCTCTTTGAGTGGGTGTGGCGGGCGCAAATGGGGCCATTGAATGAAATCCTTCTTCACTTTTGCTCAACTCACCTAGTGCTACAACATATCCAAAGGGCATCGAAATCGGTGATTCTGTCGGTGAAGGGTTGTCCTCCTGAGTGTGATTCTAACGGTGCAGGGTTTGAAAAAGTTTGTGGTTTCACCCTATTCTCAATGTAATACCCTTAAATATTGTCGAAATACCAAACAATGAAGTTTTTTATAAACTATGGATCGTGCTCTTTCTTTCCTAACTCATTTTGTGCTAAAAAATTATTTCTGTGAGAGCACGATCTATTTATCTCACGCGCATCTGGTTTCGCAAATGTTGAGGGTGGTGCGTTAGGAGACTCAGGAAAGCTAAAACTTGTGTTTCTGGTTGATTTTTGAATATAATTGTTTG